GGACAGTGGTGTGAATCAGAAACACCTAGAGAGTTCTGCCCTCGCCGGTTTGGCCCAGTGGTTGGAGCACTGGCCTGCAGTCTAGAGAGACCTGGGTTCGGTTCCTCCTAAGGGCATGTACCTTGGTTGCAGTTTGTCCCCGGCCCTGGTTGGTCGTACAGGTGGCGACCACATGATGTGTCTCTTTCACGTCAATGTTTCTCTTTCTCTTCCTCTCTCTCCTTCCCACTCTATCTGAACAGAAAATGAAAAAATGTCCTTGGGTGAGGATAAAATTAATTAATTAATTAATTAATAATTTAAAAAACACATGGTTAAAGCCCTTCCCTTGAGATTTCTGATTCAGTAAGTCTACAGGATCCTGGCATGTATGTATATTTTGAAAAAGCTTACTCAGTGGTCTAGCAGATTCAAACCACTTTCCATTTCTGTCATTTCTTGGACATATATTTCAATCTTTAATTTATTTACTTTTTATTCCTCACCCGAGGATATTTTTCTACTTATTATCAGACAGAGTGAGAGGAAGAAAGAGACAAGCAGAAACATTGATGTGATAGAGCCACATCGACTGGCTGCCTTCCGCATGACCCGACCAGGGCCAGGGACTAACCGAGGTACGTGCCCTTGACTGGAATCGAACCCGTGACTCATTTGTCCGCGGGCTGACGCTCTAACTGCTGTGCCAAACCAGCTAGGGCATATTTTAATTAAGAAAGTATAAAAATCTCATCCCACCAAAATAAATCTTGATCTTTGATATTATAAGTCAACCATGTTTAACAAAACTTAACACAAACAAACAAGCAAGCAAAAAAACCCAGCCCCTGCTCAAGGCAGAATTATATAACTAGTCCTGGCCAGGTAGCTCAGTTGGTTGGAGTGTGGTCCAGATACATCAGGGTTGTAGATTCAATTCTCAATTGAGGTACATACAAAGAACAACCAGTGAATCCATAAATGAGTAGAACAACAAAAATAGATGTTTCTCTCTCTCTCTCAAATCAGTAAGTAAAAATAAAAAACCCTACAACTAAAAATCACTGAGATGGATATCTCACTGACTGTGAAACTTTTAAGGAAAGAAGATTTGGGAATTATTATCTATAATCCACTCCGGAACTAGTCTTTTCATCATTTTAAATATTATACTTGGTAATAAGTGTATAATCTCAGCCATTATATTGAGAGGTAAGTGGTAAAAACATTCCTTCACATTGTGAGCCACACAGGTGTAATTCTGATAACTTTCCAATGATTGTTCACTGCTGTAATTGGATGAAAATCAAAAAGTGGTTTTGCCTGGATATGCCTGATAAGTCATTCTGAATAGCCCTTTCTTTCTTTCTTTTTAAAAAATATGTTTTTATTGCACTGGCCGGTTTGGCTCAGTGGTTAGAGCGTCAGCCTGCAGTCCAGAGTTACCCGGGTTCGGTTCCCGCTAAGGGCACGTACCTCAGTTGCAGTTTGTCCCTGGCCCTGGTTGAGTCGTGCAGGAGGCAGCCACTTGGTATGTCCCTTTCACATTGATGTTTCTCTCTCTCTCTTTTCTTCCCACTCTATCTGAACAAAAGATGGAAAAATGTCCTCGGGTGAGGATTAAAAAGAAAAAAATATATATATATATAGAAATACATATATATATTTTTTTAATTGATTTTTTAGAGAGGAAGGGAGAGAGACAGAGAAATATTGATGTGAGAGAGAAACATGGATTGGCTGCCTTTTGCACGCCCCCTACTGGAGAGCAAGCCCAAAACCCAGGTATGTGCCCTGACTGGGAATCCAGCCAGGACCTTGCAGTCCTTGAGCCACACAGCCAGGCTGAATAGCCCTTTCTTAAAGCACTCCAACTGCATCTCACATTCCAAAATTAATTTTGCTTAGAGATATAACATACAGGTTTTTGGACAAATGCTTAATTAGGCACTAATGCTTCCTATTCCCTGATGAGTTTCAATGCTTATGTGAGCTGACCAACTTGCTGTTCTGCTAGTGACAGCATTACTCCTATGGCAATGTCAGGGAACTATGTAAGTGTCTTTCTTATACAGATATTATAAAAAGTAGATTCACAGTTCATAACAGTAAATAGCTCAGAATGCCACTTGCCATCCTACATGGAATCACCTTTATTTCCCCCCAGGTGATAAGTGGAGGGACTAGTAGTGATTGAAGAGGATAAACTGACATTTTCTGTCTCTACAGACACAGTCCTTAGCACAGAAATGGCATCATCATGAAAAAGAAGAAATGGCCTGGCTGGTATGGCTCAGTGGTTGAGCATCAAGGCATGCACCAAGAGGTCATCAGTTCAATTCCTAGTCAGGGCACATGCCCAGGTTGTGGGCCCAATCCCCAGTAGGGGAAATGCAGGGGGTGGCCAATCGATGTTCTCTCCCTCTCCCTTCCTCTCTTTCTAAAATCAATAAAGGAAAAAAAAAAAAAAAAAAGAGGAAGAAATGGCCTATAATGCCCAGATTTATTTAATAAAATGATAAATTTTAAACATCACTTGGAGGACCTGTAGGAGTCAATATGACTCTTTACTTCCACCTAAAACAGCAGTAGTATAGCTAGAACAGAATTCCTTTATCTCCCATGTTACTCTACTTAATATTTTCCAAGTTACTGTTGCTTTAGGAAACAGGTAGGTATGGCCAAGAAAAAAGAGCTCCCAAAAATTCAGAAGGGCCCTGGCCAGTTTGGCTCAGCGGTTAGAGCGTTGGCCTGCGGTCCGGAGAGACCCAGGTTCGGTTCCCGCTAAGGGCACGTACCTCGGTTGCAGTTTGTCCCCGGCCCTGGTTGGTCGTGCGGGTGGCAGCCACTCAATGTGTCCCTTTCACATCGATGTTTCTCTCTCTCTCTCTTCCTCTCTCTCCCTCCCACTCTATCTGTACAAAAAATGAAAAAATGTCCTCGGGTGAGGATAAAAAAAAAAAAAATTCAGAAGGAAACGGCACAGTAATTTCACTTTTAAAAATTTATTTTAAGCCCTGCTGGTGTGGCTCAGTGGACTGAGCATTGCGCCATGGAATGAGAGATCCTGGTTTGATTCCCGGGCGGGGCACATGCGGGGGTTTCAGGCACAATCCCCAGTAAGGGGCATGCAGGAGGCAGCGGGTCAATGTTTCTCACATCGATGTTTCTTTCTCTTTCTCTAAAAAAATCAATAAAACATTAAAAACAAGAAAAAATACCTGATCAGTATACAGAGTGTACACACATACACACAAATTGTCATATAAGAAGTAAGTCCAGAAGCATACATATACAAAAATCTCAATAGTTGTTTTTTCAGAGTGGTGGGATTATGAATAAATTATTTTTTTATCCTTACCTGAGGATATGTTTATTGATTTCAGAGAGAGGGAGGGAGAGATGGGGAGAGAGGGATGGTGGGAGAGAGAGACAGAGAGGAAGGGAAAAAAGGGAAGAGAGGGAGAAACATGGATTGGTTGCCTCCTGTATGCATCCCTGACTGGGGATTGAACCCGAAATCTAGGTATGTGCTGACTAGTAATTAAGACTACAACCTTTTTGTATACAGGATGACGCTCCAACCAACTCAGCCACCAGGTCAGGGCAGATTAGGAATAATTTTAAAAAATGTATGCTTATCTGTATTCTATAATTTTTCTATAATATATATAGAATTTATATAATAATTATGAAAAGTACTGAGACAATTTCAGTAAGTTTTTTTTTTTTATCCTTATCCAAGGACATTTTTCCATTTTTTGTTCAGATAGAGTGGGAGGGAGAGAGAGGAAGAGGGAGAGAGAGAGAAACATTGACGTGAAAGGGGCCACATCAAGTGGCTGCCACCTGCACAACCCAACCAGGGCCGGGGACAAACTACAACCGAGGTACGTGCCCTTAGTGGGAACTGAACCCGGGTCTCTCTGGACCACAGACTGACGCTCTAACCGCTGAGCCAAACCAGCCAGGGCTCACTAAGTGTTTTTTTATCCTCACTGGAGGACATTTTTCCATTTTTTGTTCAGATAGAGTGGGAGGGAAAGAGAGGGAGGGAGGGAGGGAGAGAGGGAGAGAGAGAGAGAGAGAGAGAGAGAGAGAGATAAAGAAACATCGACGTGAAAGGGACACATCGAGTGGCTGCCACCCGCACGACCAACCAGGGCCGAGGACAAACTGTAACCAAGGTACGTGCCCTTAGCGGGAACTAAACCCGAGTCTCTCTAGACCACAGGCCGATGGTCTAACTGCTGAGCCAAACCAGCCAGGGCTCAGTAAGTTTTAAGTACTGGCAAGTACTGGGAAAACAACCATGCCAAACATAAAACCTTTTGGAGCAAACCAAGTAGACAGCACAATCTTATATCCCAAACTAACAAACTGACTTTCGCTATGTAAAAGAAAAAATTTTAAATAAAAGTATTTCATGGCTTTTAATTTTTCTTAATAATTTACTCTTCCTTCACCCCACAAACATTTTAACATTTACATACATTTTGCATCTCTACATGGAGAAAGACAAATGATTAATGCTTTGAATACTTACATGGTACTTGTCTCCAAAAGTATATACCTGACAGTTTCTTTAACACTGATAATTCTGTTTTAAAATTTAATCTGCTTCTCTCCCTTCTCACTTACCCCAATGTCCATATCCTATGTTCAGGAGAGTAAAAATTAGGACAGGCATCCCTTTCCCCATACCTGATAAGAACACACACATGTGTGTGAACATGTATGTGTGTAGATTTATTTACGTTCATTTTTTATATCATTAACATTCATGTAACATACATAGCAAAAGTCTAGATAGAGAGGTCATCATTTTGACAATATGATTACTAGTTTCAAGGCCTGGAAAATGCAGCTCACCGTGTAAAAGTATACCACCACAAGAAATCAATAATTTTCAAAGCTGATAAAACTTAATATCAATTCTAAAAAAAGAATGAAGCTGCAGGTAGGTTGATATGGTAGAGAAATAGTTAAATTTTTATCAGTTAGATTGCTATTAAGCTTACCTTACAGCTTTGAAAAACTCTGATTTCTTGTGTGTTTCAGTGGTGAGCTGCATTTCCTTAGTCTCAGCCGACTTTCCAGCAGGAATTCCAGTCTGATGAAGAATCAGCAAAAGGAAGCCCTCACTGAGAGACACAATGGTATCATTCACTGAGTGGAGACAGTGAAAGAGTTACATATTTCTAAAGGCAGTTTAGATTATTAATATATATGCTTACACAGAAAATATAGATTTAACTTCTCATTAATTAATTTCCCTTGAAAACCTGGCTGCTTTTTCTACAAAGCATTTACTCTACCTACCTCTTTGGGATGATATTTATTCACCAGAGTTCAACCCTTATGCCTTTTTAATAAAACAAAACCGTTTAGGCATAAATTTTTTTTAACTTTGCAAAAGGTTTTTATTTTTGTTTTACAATCTATTACAGTGTTTGAAATCTAAAGAAATACATTTTCTCTTCAAATTTGGATGTGCATATAAATGTCGTCTGGACTCAGTATCACAGTTTCTTGGCCCATGTCTGCTCTGAAATCAAACTTTGTTGTCTAACCAGGGGCCTGAGAACATAGAAAATAGCCAGAGTTTATAGTTCTTGGAAAACTAAAAGCAAATGAATTTGGAAAGAAAAACCAGTGAGAAAAAGGATTCGATTCACCTTTGCAGGGTCTGTAGCTGGGAACCCCAAGCTGCTTTTGAGGGATATCTGGTTTGTTTTGGGTGGCTGAGACCAAATACCCCTTTCACTTCTTTAGTTGTACATGCAAAGGCAGGTCCCATAAAAGTTGGCTAAAAGAGCCAATACCCAACTACAAGGCCTGAGGATTCTCATGGAGGTAGATTGTTAAGGATATCCTCTGAATCAGAGGTTCCTAGCCAGTCTCAGGATCTGACCTTTGACACCTTCACTGCCCCAAGGCATGGCAAGATTTTCTGTCCTCACCCAGCCGGTGTGGCTCAGTGGTTGAGCATTGACTCCTGCACCAATGAGTCACCAGTTCGATTCCCAGTCAGGGAATATGCCCAACTGATCCCAAGTGGGGGGCATGCAGGAGGCAGCCACTGGATGTTCTATTGCACCAATGTTGCTATCTCTCCCTCTCCCTTTCTCTCTCTCTAACATCAATAAAGAAAAACAACAACAACAAAAACAGGATTTTCGGTCCTCAAACCCAGGGGCTGAAAATCTGACGTACACATAGGCATGAATTTGAGCGATGGTCATGACACATCTTCTAGCAGAAACATGAGAGTCTTTAAAAAAAATTTTTTTTTCTTTATTGATTTTAGAGAGAGAGCAGGGAGAGGGAGAAAGAGAAACATCGATGAGAGAGAGAACATCGATTGGCTGCCTCCTGCATGCCCCCCACTGGGGATCGGGCCCACAATCTGGGCATGTGCCCTGACCAGGAATCAAACAGGCGACCTCTTGGTACATGGGGCAACGCTCAACCACAGAGCTGCACGGGCCGGGCAACATGGGAGTCACACATTAGAAAAAATTTATTAGAAAGGTAAACTTTTATCAAGTCTAAAGATTAGTGAAGTAAATAAACATCAATTTTTGTATCACCTTTATCAGTGCTATTACCTCGCAAAGCTGTGACAATCAGATCTGGAAATCTTGCATAATCTATATAGAAATATTTTTGTTAAACAAAATTTTGAAATGAGTATTTAACACTTTCAAGAAAACATGTTTTCAAGAATGACATGCAAATTCTTTCCATATTTAAAAAAAACATGTTTTGCCCTGGCCGGTTTGGCTCAGCGGTTAGAGTGTCGGCCTGCAGTCCAAAGAGACCTGGGTTCAGTTCCCACTAAGGGCACGTGCCTTGATTGCAGTTTGTCCCCGGCCCTGGTTGGGTTGTGTGGGTGGCAACCACTCAATGTGTCCCTTTCATGTAAATGTTTCTCTTTCTCTCTCTCCCTCCTACTCTATCTGAACAAAATATGGAAAAATGTCCTCGGGTGAGGATAAAAAAAAAAAATGCTTTATAAAATATCTTTAGTGCAGTAGTTCACTAGGAATCAATAGTTAGAACACAACTATAGAAAGTCTCAAAAAGCAATAGAACTTTAAAGAAAATCCTAAATACATAATTTTCACCGATAATTCTGAATTGTAATGAACAGCACTGCTCTAGATAAAGTATCTGAAGAGACAGTTATTACAATTAAAAGGCCTTACCTGGTCTGAGGAGGTGTGGGTGTGTGAAGGGGCTAGGCTGGCCCAAGTATCGGTTTGGAACCCTCCTCTCTGGGATGGGCTGGAGGGAGTACCTTCGCTGTGAACAGGAAATGTATCCTGAAGGAAAAATAGAGGATGAAGTGACACAAGGAGTCTACAAGGTCCTCACAGTATATATGTACATTTATCTATCCCCAGTATTTGGATGCTTTAGAAAAATACAAATTAGAATCACCTTCAATATTTATATGGCCCTTCCTCTGTGCCAGTCAGAGCCTGTGTTGGGCCCTAGGAATACAGAAATGATCTCTCATTTTAACCCCTCATGACTTTAGTTTACTACAGTATAATAGAGGTAAATAGGGTGGGGCAAAAGTAGGTTTACAGTTGTTCATATGAAAAATAATAAACTGTTTCTCATACAACTGCAAACCTACTTTTGCCCCACCCAGTATATACATACAGTATGACTAAGGTATGAATAAGAATCTATAGGAACAGAAGGAAGGCAACAAACAAAAGCAGAGAAGGGGTCAGAAAGTATTTCACACAGGTAGTGTGAAGCTATGTCCTAAAGTTTAGAAAAGAGAACTAATATTTTAATTGAGAATTACGTTATATGAAAAAATATGCACATTGTCTCATTAAATCTTGGAATCTTAGAGTGAGATATAATACCAAATGAAAAATACTTTCTAATAGCACATAATAAACACTATTATTAGCATCCATTCATTAAGGATTTATTGAGCATGTGAATGGTAAGAACACAAGTGGGGAAAGACACAAATAAGACAACTATATTTCCTCTGGTCTTCAAAAAATATAAAGGCACACCTCATTTTACTGCTTTGCTTTAGTGCACCTTGCAGATACTGTTTTTTCTTATTTTGTTTTTACAAATTGAGGGTTTGTGGTGATCCTGCATTGAGCAAGTCTATTGAAACCATTTTTCCAACAGCATTTGCTCACTCTGTCTGTCTCATTTTGGTTATTGCAATATTTCAAACTTTTTTTTCTTTATTGATTTTTAGAGAGAGGAAGGGAAAGGGAGAGAGAGATAGAAACATCTATGAGAGAGAACATCGACTGGCTGCTTCCCTTTGGGGATCGGGCCCCCAACCTGGGCATGTGCCCTGACCAGGAATTGAACCAGTGACCTCTTAGTTAGTGCATGGGTCGATACCCAACCACTGAGCCACACTGACCAAGCTCAAACTTTTTTATTATTATTGTTATATTTGTTATGATGATCTGTGATTAGCAATCTTTGATGTTACTATTGTAATTGTTTTGGGATGCCATGAACCATGTCCACATAAGATATTGAACTTAATGGATATATGTTATATGTGTTCTGGACTGCTCCACCAACCAGCTATTCCCCCTTTTCTTTCCCTCTCCTCAGGCTTCCCTTTTCCCAGAGACTCAACAATATTAAAATTAGGTCAACCAATAACCCTACATGGCCTCCTATTTGAGACAGAAGAGGAGAAGCTAGAAGAAAAGGAAGCAATGTGACCACAGAGACAGAGATGGGAGTAATGCGGCCATAAACCAAGGAACACCTATGTTATTGGAAAGGGGACCTGGCACTTAGTGAATCTGCCTAGGGCCAGCTGGTAGTGTGTGGGTTCTTGACTTCACAGGAAAGGTTTCACAACACAGGTCTAGGTGGTTTTTTAAAAAATGTTTTTATTGATTTTTTTAAAAGAGAGATAGAAAGAAACATTGATGTGAGAAACATCGATCAGCCACCTCTTGCACACCCCCTACTGGGGACTGAACTTGTAATTCGGGCATGTGCCCTGACCGGGAATCGAATGGGGACCTCTCAGACCATGGAATAATGCTCAATCCACTGAGCCATACCGGATGGGCAAGTCCAGGTGATATGGAGGTATTGAGGGTACTTTTATTAAAGCTGAGGACACTGACACAAGCAAGGGCTTAGCATAGAAGAAGCAACAGGAGAGCCTAGGCTGGGCTGCTTTGGCTCTCTAGAAAGTCAGAGAAAAGGGGACAATGGAGACAGATTCAGGAGGTTAGGCTGGGATAAGCTGCCACTGATCATTGCTCCCCTGGATGCAAGTCTGGTGGGGTCTCTCAGAGTTTAGATGTATGCCTGTGGGGGAAGGGGGAGAAGGGAAAGGTACAGGCTCGCTCCAATGTGTGCTGGAAACTTTGTTTTGAGGGGTTTTAAAGGCTGGGGGTTTAGGGGAGATCTTGGGGAGGATTTCAATAGAACATTCACCAGTTTCATGTCAATGTGCCAAAATGATATTTATTCCCTAATTTTATCTGTACTTGGGTGTGGTTGGCAAATGGCACTAACTGGATTTCTGCTATTTCCCTGAGCAGGTTAATATAAGTTATTTACCCCATGGTTACAGAAGATAGGATTTTGCAATTTACTAGATGGCTGCAAACTGCTTGGCCTTTTATCTGTGTGTTTTCCTATTCCACTTGTCCTGGCTTACTAGTCTGTTTCACCTACAGCCACCAATTGGAAGAAGTAAAAAACTGATTCTCTCCTAGAACCTTCAGGAGTGCAGCGATGCTGACACTGGATTTTTGACTTCTGGCCTTTAGAACTGAGAACAGAATACATTTCTGTAGTTTTAAGGTACTATGTTTGTGGTAATTTATTATGGTAGCCTAGGAAACTAATACAATGACCCACTACGATAACAACTGACAATTTTTTTTTTTATCCTCACCCGAGGACATTTTTCCATTTTTTGTACAGATAGAGTGGGAGGGAGAGAGAGAGAGAGAAACATCGACGTGAAGGGACACATCGAGTGGCTGCCACCCGCACGACCAACCAGGGCCGGGGACAAACTGCAACCGAGGTACATGCCCTTAGCGGGAACCGAACCCGGGTCTCTCGGTGGACGCTCTAACCGCTGAGCCAAACCGGCCAGGGCACAACTGACAATTTTTAAAACACTACACTAAAAGTCTGTCTCTCTATTGAAGTCAGCTCCATTTAGGAGAGGGGGATATGAGGGATCAATACTTTTTAAGAGTATAAAGGGATCCTGAGACCAACCTCTGCTCAACCCAAACATCAGATTCTCATCCTCAAAGCACAGAAGCTTTTGGTCCACTTGAGTTTTTGGTTACCAGACCCTTGACATTTGTGTTTTTGAAAGTAGAGACATCATTGGAAAAAGATGACAGTAGGTTGTCCATGTGCAAGAACATGTTGGTGGAGTAACTAGGATGGAGTGGTATAAAGAAATGGAATACAATTATAAGTTTAGCAGAACTACCTGAGCTTTTTTCACCTGTAATCAAACCAGTCCTAATCAAAGCTCATACAATATAGGATGCAGCTCCATTTTTCCTTATCACAATGAATAGTAGCGGTACAGTATATTTATTGTTTTCAAATCACAACTGGGCTCAGTGCAGCTAAATATGAGAAGGCAAAAAGACAAGTAATGGATTTGGCAACAAGGAAGTCACTAGAAAGCCTGACAAGACAGTTATGGTGGAGTACAGATGACAGCAACCAAAATGAGCAAAGGTGGTCAAAAGGTACACATTTCCAATTATAGGATAAGTAAGTTCTGGGGATGTAATGTACAGTATGAATATTATTTTTATTTGGTATGTGCCCCTAGCGGGAACCGAACATGGGACTCTCTGGTCCGCAGGCTGATGCTCCAACTGCTGAGCCAAACCGGCCAGGGCACAGTATGGTTATTAGTTTAAAATTCTGTATTGTGGCCCTGGCCTGTTTGGCTCAGCGGTTGGAGCATCGGCCTGCGGTACAGAGATACCCGGGTTCGGTTCCCGCTAAGGGCACGTACTTCGGTTGCAGTTTGTCCCCGGCCCTGGTTGGTCGTGCGGGTGGCAGCCACTCAATGTGTCCCTTCACATCGATGTTTCTCTCTCTCTCTCTTCCTTTCTCTCCCTCCCGCTCTATCTGAACAAAAAATGGAAAAATGTCCTCGGGTGAGAATTAAAAAAAAAAAAAAAAAAAAAAAATTCTGTATTGTGTATTTGAAAGTTGCTGAAAGGGTAGATCTTAAAAGTTCTCACAAGCGTCCTGGCCAAGTGGCTCAACTGGTTGGAGCATTGTCTCATACACTAAAGGGTTGTGGGCTTGATTCACAGGGCATATACCTAGGTTGCAGGTTCCCAGGTAGGGACAGGTACAGGTGGCAATTGATTGATGTTTCCGTATCATATCAATGTTTATTTCCACTCCTACCCCTTCCTCTCTCTCTCTCTAATCAATAAAGAACCTTATCCTTGGGTGAGGATTAAAATAAAAAGAAAGTTCTCACAAGAGAAAAAAATGTAACTGCAAGGTGATGGATGTTCAATTATTGTGGCAATCATTTTACAATATATGCATATATCAAGTCATTATGTTATACACTTTAAATGTATAAAATATTCTATTTCAATTATATGACAATAAAATTGAAAAAAAAGAAAAAGGTACAAGCTAGATTGGGAGTTTGCCAAGGAAAGACTAAGAAGGACGAAAGCACAGATAATCAAGTGGAGACAACAATTTGGAGAAATTTTATTGTGAAGGGATCAGAGAAAATGGTACAGTAGTCGGAAAGGGGAAGGAATCAAGAGAGGGAGAATAAGTATAGAGCAAGTCTCTGTGTTACACTTTCCCACTCTACTGAAATTAGTTTTTCAATGTGTTTTTTGTCCCAATTATATTTATTCCTTGAGAGCAGAATTTTCTAATTCCTCTCTGTATCTATCATAGGTTCTCAATACATGTTTGTGTAATGTCTAGAACCTAAACTCTAAGTTCTGGTCCAAGAAATGAGATAGAGTTGGAAAGAGCAGAATTTGGAATCAGATAGGCCCAAGTTTAAATATTAGATATTTTATGAATGAGCTATGTTTCCTTAGACAAATCAATTTACCTTTCAGAACCACAGGTTTCTTATAGACACAAAATATTTATTTTGCTGGAATGCTGTGACAGTTAAATGAGAAACTACATGTAAGTCACTGCTACAGGATTTAAACCAAAGAAGGTACTCAAAAAATGTTCAACATCGTTATTATTTCTAGTTCTTTAAAAAAATTTTTTTCTTTATTGTTTTTTAGCCAGAGAGAGGAAGGGAGAGGGAGAGAGAAACATTGACAAGAAAGAACATTGATTGGCTGCCTCCTGCATGCCCCACACTGGGGACTGGGCCCACAACCTGGGCATGTGCCCTGACCGGGAATCAAACCAGTGACCTCTTGGTGCATGGGTCAATGCTCAACCACTGAGCCACACTGGCCGGGCTACTGTTATTTCTTTTCAATGGCAGGCAAACATAATCATATGTATACAGTATATACATGGAAACACATATACTGTAGAAAACTGAAATTATTTGAGTTTAAGAGCTTCGCAATACTTCTAGTCAACTGGTATAGCAAAACAAACGCAAAGTAAAAAAATATTCAAAACTGGCAAATGCACAGAACTTACATGCATGTACGCATAACTGATGGACATAGAAAACAAAGCTAGGGATGGGGCAGGGGATGGAGAGGAGGATGTCAACGGGGAAAAAAAGGAGAAACATCTGTAACATAAATTAATTTTAAAAACCTGGCAAATGATTTTGAAAGACTGTCTAGAAATGCACACTATTGTTTTCTATCTCATTAGAATATCATTTAACCAAGGTATTTATAAATGTGATGGAAAATAAAACAAAATATAGAGGAGGAAAACAGAGACAGATTATCATTGGGAATTCCCTAGGACAATAAAATGAGCCAGGAATAGAATTTACATCTTTTCAATTCAGGTCTAGCCTACTGATAATTTATATTGGCCCTAAAGAAAATCAATTTTGGTTGAGTTTACTTCTAACTGGATTTTCCCCCCTCACCCGAGGACATTTTTCCATTTTTTGTTCAGATAGAGTGGGAGGGAGAGAGAGGAAGAGCGAGAGAGAAACATCGACGTGAAAGGGACACATCGAGTGGCTGCCACTCGCACGACCAATCAGGGCACAACCAACCAGGGCCGGGGACAAATTGCAACAGAGGCACATGCCCTTAGCGGGACCTGAACCTGGGTCTCTCTGTACCACAGGCCGATGCTCTAACTGCTGAGCCAAACCGGCCAGGGCTTAACTGGATTTTTAATCATAACTTTTCCACATACAACTTATTCTCCACATAGCAGCCACTGATCCATTAAAAATGTAAATCAGATACATAACCCCCTTGCCCCAATGGCTTCCCATCAGAAATGAATGCCAGCTTTATTTATAATGGGTCAAAAGTGGAAAAAACCAACATATCCATTCACATGGCTAATAGTTACTGAACTGGATCATCATATGGGTGACTCTTTGTCATCCACGTCTCAGCTTTAATGTCTTCTCTTCCGAGGCCCCCTAAAACCAATCTAAGGTAACTTTCTGCTATCATACTACTTTTTTTTTTTTAATTCTCACCCGAGGACATTTTTCCATTTTTTGTTCAGATAGAGTGGGAGGGAGAGCGAGGAAGATGAGAGAGAGAGAGAAACATCGATGTGAAAGGGACACATCGAGTGGCTGCCACCCGCACAACCGACCAGGGTCAGGGACAAACTGCAACCAAGATATATGCCCTTAGTGGGAACCGAACCCGGGTCTCTCCGAACCACAGGCCAACGCTCTAACCGCTGAGCCAAACTGGCCAGGGCTCAAACTACTTTTTTGAGCACATATCACATTATGTCCAATTATTTTTATTCTTTGTACTCCATGATAATGCAAGCACTATGAAAACTAGCATTTTGTTGTTGTTCAATACTGTTATCACCAGTGGCCTAAACTGCTTTGTACAAAGTAGGCATTCAATAACTATATATTGAATACATAAATACACAATTTTCTAAATCTTTAACTACATGTTTTTTGGTAGTAACCTTTAGGTGCACAAAGATACCATCATCTCAAGTGACCCACCACTAGCATGCAAAAACCTTGTATAGTACCTTCCGACACCCCAATTCTGGGGTGTCTCTTATATGATTGCTTAGCATCTAGTGCTTCCTCCATCAAAGCCTTTATTATATTGTAACTGAGTCACTTATTTTTTATCTCCAACTGTAAGTCTCTTGACTGAAATACTTTTTTCACATAGTTCACTACTACTTCACTTTTCCAAACCAAAACACAGAAGAACTGGAAAGTAAGTTATTAAAGTTCAGTAACTTGGAGGTCATATTATGCAAGTGGCATGCTGTGGCCATCAACAGGTTCCACTGATTTATGAGGTACTGTTTGAGGTTTCCAGGGAAATAATCCAGAGGGTTCAGGATGGTCTGGTATGATTCTGGACTAGCTCCATTTGGAAGGTCTAGTCCCTACCCCAACCCCAGAATGACAGCATAATGCAGCCCTCTCTGACATAAGCTTGGAACTCCGCTTGCCACACAATCAGTATCCTAGCATCTCCTTGCAGTGGCTCACAGTAACAACACGGACTTCAATGTAAAAATGTGCCTATTTGTAGTCACTCCACCACCACCACCAGCAGAGCCTAAGCTGAGAGGAAATCACAGTTCTCACTACTCAGGGACCCCTTCCAACAATTTGTTAAAACATGGTAGATTACTATGAAGTTCTAGGCGTGCAGAGATATGCTTCATGTGAGAACATTAAAAGGGCTTATCATAAGTGGCACTTAAATGGCACCCTAATAAAAATCCAGAAAATAAAGCTGAGACAAAATTCAAAGTAGCTGAAGCATATGAGGTATTATCAAATGATGAAAAACGGGACATTTATGATTATTATGACAAAGAAGGATTAAATGGCAGAGTTGGAAGTAATACTGATGATTCTTTTCAGTATGGCTTCACATTCCATAATCCAGATGAGGTTTTAAATAAATTTTTGGTGAAAGGGACTCATTATTTCTTTTCTTTGAAGACTTACTTGAGGACCTTTTAAATAGTCCACGAAGTTCCTAAGGAAGCAGAAACAGAGGTGCAAGATCCTTTTTCTCTACATCCAGCGAATATCTGGTTTTTGAGAGATTTTCTTCTTATGGTACAAAATATATACCACATGGTTTACTGGGCCATGAGGGCATTAATTCTTTCTCTTCCCTGGCATTTGATGACAGTGGGATGGTAAACTAAACTACATATCCTTTACAACTTCACATAAAATTGTTAATGGCAGAAATACCAATACAAACAGAATTGAGAATGATGAAGAAAGAGAAGTTGAAGATAATGGTGAGTTGAAATCCTTCTTTATAAATGGTGTGGCAGATGAAGAGGGCTTTGCAGAAGAATGCAGCTGGAGAAGACAGTCATTCAACAATTATTCACCTGAGTCCTATAGCTCTAAACATGTATCTCAGTATACTTGCATAAAAAATGAGCAATGTATACCTTGGGTCACCAGCAACAGGAATCCCTCTGTTTTCTCAGTAGGATTCAAAGGTGGTAAGAGGGGGGGAAAAGCATGAAGGAGGTGCAGAAAACGTCAACCAAAAGGAATGGCTAAATTGACTCTTCAGACACATTATGCTCATATAACATTTGAAAACAACTCTTTGTTTTGATTAATCAGTTTTGTAGGTAACTTTTGTTTAATACTATAGTAAGATTATGTTTTTTAACACAATTAGCAGGATTGTGGACATCTGGTCAGTGGTTGTTTGGATTAGGTATGTCTGAAAAAGATGTGTTTGTGGTGACAGTGATTTTAAGAATTTGGTGATTTTAATAATACAGCAAAGATTATTTTACTGTTGTTTTTGAGCTAAATGTTTACATATCAGTTTTTTAGTGAAGTTTATTACCTATTTCATTCTTTTTAAAAAATTAAAACTACTATACAAACTTCTGAAATATGCACAGCATTAGGAACTAAAAATGTATTGAGACATACAGGTTCAGACTATATAATTATTCACGAAATGACTTTCCCCCCAAGAAGCAGAGCATTTGACACAGAACTTAAAGACATTATAAATTAAAAACTAAAGTATAAAGTATTTTCTTAAGTTAAAAATAGCCAGATGCATATTTGCACACCCATGTTCACAGCAGTAATTATTCACAATAGCCAAGAGGCAGAACCAATCCAAATGTCAATCAATTAATGACTACATAAAATATTTATACAGTACATACAGGCATATAGTGGAATATTATTTGGCCATAAAGAGGAAGGAAATTCTGTTATATGCTATAATAGGATGAACTTTGAGACATTATGCTAAGTGAATAAGCCAGTCATGGAAGACAAATACTTTGATTCTACTTATATGAGGTATCTAACGTCAAATTCACAGAAACAAAAGAATCATGTTTACCAGGGAGGGGGGCGGGGGAGGAAAAGCTGTAGGTTATCAGTGAATCGTTCCAGATACAAAACTTTCTATTTCTATTTTCTTTTTGAGTATGTACACAGGATCTACAGATACATTACTCTAAAATACCACCTATAGCAATTATAATTTAGGGTTATGATGGAAGATAAATAGATGAATTATAGATATATCAGTCACTGAGCAAGTATTTTGAGCTAAACGTTTGAATACATTTTCTTCTTTCAAATGAACTTGGTTTAATATCAACATGATTACTTAGCTTCCTTTAATTACGTTTCAAAATATAATTTTTTCCAGCCTATTATTTTTATTCATTTAACAGTATTTTTCGAGTAACTTCTGTTTGTCAGATAGTGTTCTAGGTTCCTGGGATACAATAATGAACAAAGAGCAATAATCTTAGCTGTCACAGAGCTTACAAACTGGAGAGAAACAATAAACAAATATTAAGTAAATATGTTAGTCACAGGTGCTGAGAAAAAAAAAAAAAAAAACAGTGGAAGAAGATAGAAGTTTTGGAAGTATGAGAGCTGAAATTTTAGCTAAGGTAGCCAGGGAAAGTGATGGTTATATCTGAGTCAAGATTTCAAGGAAGCGCAGGAGTTAGCCATGTGAGACAGAATCCCAGGCAGAAGGAACAGCAAGTGAAACATTCCTAAAGCAGGCTGTTTGAGGAACATGGAGAAGATCAGTGGTAGCTGATTAAAAGAGCAAGTAAATGAAGAAAGGGCAGATCATGTGGGGATTGCTAGATCACAATATGGACTTTGTTATAAGAAGTGGGAAGTCACTAGAGACTTTGATCAGAAGCATGACATAACCTGATACATTAAAACAGGCCTACTCTGGCTGCTGTCACTGAAAACAGACTCAAAGTAAGCAGGGATAAAAGCAGAGACATCAGGCTATTGCCACAATCCACTCAAGAGATTGTAGTAGGTTGGTTCAGGGTAGTAGAGGTGGGGGTGGTTAAAAGTGATCATATTCTGGACATAGTCTTAAGTTAGAGCCAAACAAAATTTGCTGAGACTAGATGTTGAATATGAGTCAAGGTTTTTGGCCTTAGCCACTGGAAGTAGGGAGATGCCATTATCTGAGATATAGCTGCAGGTGTTAAGTTTTAGACGAGCTGCATTTGAGATGCCTAAATTTATTAAGCAACTGAAAAGAAATGCCTGCATTAACTTGTATCCTGCATGTTTCTTGTCATTGCATTCTTCCTTTTTTAGCAATAAGATCTACTGGTATTTTAATCTTTTAGCTCTTAAAAATGTAATTACTGTAAATTTTAATGTCACTAAAAGATAGGAGCAAATAATCTAGAAGCACTAAAACCCCAATCACCGTTAGCAAAAAACAGTCGAGTGGTATTTAGCAGTGCAAACATTTTAGAAATCAGAAAAAATTATATCTATTGTTTTTAAATGATTTGTAGTCGTGTGAGATCTTTGCTTTGTTTTGCTTAATTTTTAAGTTGGTAGGTGGGTGGGGAGAAAAGGTCATTTACTCCATAGGAGGTATTGGGGACAATTTGCACTTTAAGCTTATCTTCAGAAAATAAAATAATAAAAACCTAGGGTATTTTAAATGGTACTTACATAAAATTTGATATTTAGTAGAGTTTATCTGTAACATATTTGTAGGACTAATTAGAGTAGAAAAAAATACAATTTCCCAACAAATGCAAAAACTGGTGTCTGAAGATTTAAGAAAGCAATGACATGCCTTCCTGTCCATTTTCCCCACTCTTAACAGATAACTAAAAATTTGTCTTAATCTTACTCAATAGCTTAAAAATTTTCAATTTCCCACTGCCTACAGGAAAAAAAGCTCATTGTTTCTTAACATAATATACAGGGTCTATGAACCAGCCACCAGCTTCTTGCCTAATTGGATTTTCTATCACCTTTTCCTACCATCTTATGCTCAAGCCCAAGTTTTCCCAAAATATGTCCCAAGGAATATCAGTTCAAGACTCATCACAGAAAAAGGACTCCATGGTCAAATATATTTTGCAAATTACTGCCAAATATGTTTCCCTCTTAGAGACTCAGAATTAGTTTACCATGGACACCATGAAGTGCAGCATTCCCTGTACTTATTTGACCACAGAAAATCATTTTGGTGTTAACACCTATTATGTGCCTGGGAACATATCTCAAAAAAGGCTTCTCCAGGCTTATTAACAATTACAAAGCTTTGCAACAGCCATTCCGTGTCAAAGTTCCGTACCTTTGCATGTTCCCTCTGCCAAATAGCTCCACTACTCTAATCAGCTTGGTGCAATTGAGCCTTCTTTATGGTCTCAAACCAAGTATCTCCTAATCATTAAAGGCTTGCCCACATTTCTGCTTTCCCCCTCCCTGCTCCCAGAAAATATTTATCACTTTTTCCTTCTCCCCACCACTGGACCTCTATCACTAAATTTAGTATACTACAATTACTTGCTTTATTTGTCTGTCTCTTGCGATGGTATAAACTATTTTGTGCTCAGTGCTCACATGTGGTGCTCAGTTAATGCTTGCTGAATGAATTGTAAATAAGCTTTTAAACATTATTCTCTAATATATTTTTAAACATTTTTTATTTATTGATTTTAGAGAGAGGAAGGGGAGAGAAAGATCGATTTGCTGTTCCACTTATTTATGCCTTCATTGGTTCTTTTTTTTTTTTTTTTTAATTAAAGAAATTTTTTCTTTGTTTTTAGAGAGAGGAAGTGAGAGGGAGAGAGAAACATCGATGAGAGAGAATATCAGGCCACCTCCTACATGCCCCCCACTGGGGATTGGGCCTGCAACCCAGGCATGTGTTCTGACCAGGAATCGAACTAGTGACCTCTTGGTACATGGGTTGACGCTCAACCACTGAGCCACATTTGCCAGACCATTGGCTGATTTTTGTATGTGCCCTGACTGGGGATAGAACCCGCAACCTTGGCATATCAGGATGATGCACTCACCAACTGAGCAATCCGGCCAAGGTTATTCTTTAATATTTTCAGTATTTCCCTTCCCCATCTCAGTCTTTTATTTATCTTAAATTATGCAGTGTTTTATTTTTTTCTTTATTGATTTTAGAGAGAAAGGGAGAGGGCGTAATAGACATATTGATGAGAGAGAATATCGACTGGATGCCTCCTGCATGCCCCCAAATGGTGATCGGGCCCACAACCTGGGCATGTGCCCTGACCGGGAATCCAACCGGCGACCTCTCTGTGCATGGGTCAACACTCAACTGCTGAACCACACCAGCATGGCAATGATGCAGTGTTTTAAAATACAACGTATGCATCATTAATGCTTTATTTTGCTTTTTCTCAGATGACTAAATCATGTTAATATTTGCATATTCCAATCAAAATCACACTCTTAACTGCATGACTTTCATAGATGAGAAGGTTTCCTATGGTACACGATACTCTGTACCCAGAGACATTCTAACCCAAGAGCACCACAGACAATAAAAATCCTAATTTTGAGCACCTCAAGTCAGTGGAATTTTCAAATTAAAAAAACTTAGTGAGCCCTCCCCAGTTTGGCTCAGTGGTTAGAGTATCGGCCTGCGGTCCCGAGAGACCCAGGTTTGGATCCCAGCTAAGGGCGCATACCTCAGTTGCAGTTTGTCCCTGGCCCTGGTTGGTCGTGCGGGTGGCAGCTACTTGATGTGTCCCTTTCACGTTGATGTTTCTCTCTCTGTCTCTTCCTCTCTCTCCCTCTCACTCTATCTGAACAGAAAATGGAAAAATGTCCTCAGGTGAGGATAAAAAAACAAAAACAAAAAAACTTAGTGAGCCCTGGCTGGTTTGGCTCAGCGGTTAGAGCATCAGTCTGTGGTCCAGAGAGATGCGGGTTCAGTTCCTGCTAAGGGCATGTACCTCGGTTGCAGTTTGTCCCCGGCCCTGGTTGGGTTGTGCAGGTGGCAGCCACTCAATGTGTCCCTTTCACGTCGATGTTTCTTTCTCTCTCTCTTCCTCTCCCTCCCTCGCACTCTATCCGAACAAAAAATGGAAAAATGTCCTTGGGTAAGGATTAAAAACAAAACAAAACCAACTTAGTGAGCCCGCCCGGCCAGTGTGGCTCAATGGTTGAGTGTCAACCCATGCACCAAGAGGTTGCCAGTTCAATTCCCGGTCAGGACACATGCCCAGGTTGTGGCCCAAACCCCCAGTGGGGGGCATGCAGGAGACGGCCAATCGATGTTTCTATCTCTCTCTCTCCCTTCCTCTTTCTCTAAAATCAATAAAGAAAAAAATTTAGTGAGCCCTGGCCAGTTTGGGTTGGAGCATCAGCCTGCGGACCAGCGAGTCCTGGGTTCGGTTCCCACTACGAGCACATACCAAAACAAAACAAAACACAACACTTAGTGAAATCCCAGAATAACATAAGATTTATGACCTATTCATTCCTTTTCTGAGTTTCCATGTCACTTTAGTCAAGACTCTATTACCGTTCTTTGCTATAGTGTCACTTATCTATTGTCTATCACACTGCCTAGACTGTAAGCAACTCCAGGGAAGTGGGGATTCATCCACAATCTACTGATTCAAAGGTCACTGAATTAGTAGTCATTGGAGCTCAATAAAAGTTCCAAAAGGCCTCTACTAAGCCAGGGTAAGATCTTGTGGTATAACAGAAAAAGAACTAAATGGCAATATGACTGAAATTCCTGACTTGCTACCTGTGATCCTGTGTGTCAGTTCCCCATCAGTAAAATGAGAATATCTGTCCTAATTTATTGGACTTAAGATGAAGATCCAACTAGATCATTCATTTATTCAAAAAGCCTAAGTATACAGTATATAAAATGATAATATAAGAGGTGGTTAAATTTACTTATTCCATTGAGCAAAATGAAGCATAATGAATATCCTTTTCAAAGATCTTGGTGTGTATAATACAGCATCTAGTCTTAAATCTTAATTAATTGGGTTTTACACAATCCCTTAATACAAAAAAAAAGTCACAAGCAAAGTATAGTTCCAGCTCTAAATCACTGTTGTGACCTCTGTGATCAACATAGACTAATTGTGACTTGGAGTGGTGAACACACAATACAATACACAGGTGATGTATTATAGAATTGTACACCTGAGATCGTGTCACCCCAATAAATTCAATTAAATAAAAAGACTAATTGCACATCTATTCACCCCCTCCCATGGAGAGGGACAGCTTTCTGCAGCTTAACTATTAGAACTGAAGAGCAAGGTCTGTGCATTGGACAATGATTACCTTTTTCTTTTTTAAAGTAAGTAGAGTATGGCTTGATTTAATTACCATTTATTTTCTTTTCATTTATTTATTTTTGTTACAGATGTTTCTCCTCCCCCCACACTAGACACCCTCATCCCGACCCCCCCCCCCAACATTGTTGTCTATGTCAATTGGTTAGGCATACCCACATAAAAATTCTTTGGTTTATCTCATTCCCCCTCACCCCATCCCCTCTTCTGAGGTTTGTCAGTCTGAGTACCATCCACTTTCAATAAACTCAGGTATACCACCAGCATAAGAAAGATATGCCAAGACATAGACTTGACGTCAAATACCATATGCTCTGTCTGGTTCACTCACTGTTCACACATCGGCCCAAAATACTGAAATATGATCCAATGGCAGACCCATCTGCAATGTAGATGATTCAGCTTTCACTGACCAAGTTTTACTTCATGAGATTAATTGCTAGAGATACAGTGCACCTTAAAAAAATGAGCCCCCTTATTCCCAGACTCCTCCATCTTGTCTTTACAAACAGGGCTTTCAGACATAAAAACAGTATTTCCAAACAGTACCTCTTCTGAGAAGAATTGCTCAAAGGATTTGTATTATTAAACATGTTTCTTGAACATTCTGGAACCGGTCTTTAAGTGAACTCTTTGAAAACATGAAAATAGAATTTTAGGTTAACCTAACAGAAACAAGAGCTCCTTGGTATGATACAGTATGATACACTTCGTCACCTAAGCAAATGTGACAACTGATACAACTTCTATGTGTCCAAGTAATTTTGAAGACAGCCCCTCTAGCGGATGGCCACACTTTTCTCTCTGGAGTCATTTCAGCTTCCCAGAATACCTCAATGGAAGAGAGGTCACAGGGCCCACCCTTTTCCAGAAGTGGCAGATAAAGAAGTCCTGGGAGCGCACAGAGGGTTTAGGGGTGTAGGCCCCAGCAGAACGGTCCGCCGAACCAGCGATCGCCTGGGATCCACTTGGATCCCTCTGGGGCCCCTCAAGCTTCGCAGAGAGCAAACCCTGGAGGGGACACAGTAGAAGGTGAGTCTAACCTGAGAGGCTGCGGGCGCTTGCTCTAGCGGGAACCAGCTTAGTTGCTGAGCGTAACCAAGGCATGCCGGCCTAGCACACGCGTCAGGAAGAAAAGTAGGGAAAGTGCGAGACAAGCGGCGGCCTCAGGGCAACGTCGCCAAGGAATCGAGCCAAGCGGCCCGCCCCTTCCGGCCCGCGCTGCTCGCGGGGCTTTTCTCCCACGGCGGCGCAGATGCTGACGTCACGCCAAAGTTGTGGGTGACCACTGCTCTGGCCAGACAGCCCTTTTGGCGTCATGACGTCGTGCTCCACTTAATGCTCACTCTCACAGGATGTCCGATTCTAAGTGACTCCCGGCAGCGGCTAATATCTCCCGCCTTCCTGAAAGCACCATGTAGGAAGTTGATTCCATCCACAGAACTGGTTCAGGGTTGAGAATGGAAGAAAGCGTGCATACAGAGGCAGGCAACAATACAAACAGCCACCCTTCTAGAAGGTTCTAACCAGTGCGCAGGAGCAGAGGTGAAGGGAGTAGGAAGGAACAAGCTTAGGACCCGGGGTCACGAGACCGTTAGTGGGAGGGGCCAGGGGCCGGGGAAGTTCTAGTCTGTTCTGCCTCGCGGCAGCCGCCCCCTTCCACACGGTCACGCTGAGTTAGCGCCTTTGCCCGGAATCCGGCCGCAACCCTAGCCGCGCCCGCCGCCTCCCGGCCATGGACCCCCGCAAAGTGAGCGAGCTTCGGGCCTTCGTGAAAATGTGTAAGCAGGATCCGAGCGTTCTGCATACCGAGGAAATGCGCTTCCTGAGGGAGTGGGTGGAGAGGTGAGACCCGGGCCCGAGGACCGTTGAGGGTGGGGAGAGGGACCGGAGGGTTGCTGGGCCGGAGCTGGCGCGGGGCGGAGGAGCGGGCAGCTCCGCGACGAGGCCTGCAGAGTCGCCGCCTCTTTGAGGCTCGCTCCCTGGCCAGGCAAGCAAGGCGACTTTCAGGGCCTAATAGAGAGGCGGGGAGGGGCGAGGCGGAGCTGGGTCCCTGCACCCTGAAGTTGCCAGGGGTGTGTCTCAGACGAAATACAAATGCAGAAGATTGCGGGGACTTGGCCACTAGGCGTGGGGGTGGGGGGATGAGAGCTGCAAGAGTTCGCTTTCGCATGGAGTTGTTTTTCTTGAAATCTCTGGTGTCCTGCTTGGGTTGCAGTGTCACATAGCAGCTCTTTACGGACTGTGCCTTTAAATAGTGTTGTAATATTGCTTACTTATTTAGTAAGTTATAAAAGTGGTAGATGTATTTAATTGCCTTTAGAATTACAGCGATTCTAATTGCGTAGAATTATTTTGGGAATCATTTCTATCTCCGTAGTAACGGTGCCATCACTCCAAACACTAAAAAAATAAAAGATTTATTAAGGACTGGTGTGTTTTCGTGATCTGTTTTCATTAAATTCTTTAGAGTACTTCGCTACGTGCACGGAATTAATTGCATAGGAATTATGCCAGATGCTAGGAAATAGTTTTAAGTATGATCTAGGTATACAGATGAAGAAACAAATTCGTTTTGATATTTACTGTATAATAGAGATTAGTATTCCACCCATTGGAGTGTAATTAAGAGAGAAAGGAAATATTCCCCAAAATGAATTTTTTTTAAATATATTTTATCGATTTTTTTTTTTTTTTTTTTAGAGAGAGAGAGAAACATGGAGGTCCTGATTTGATTCCTGGTCAGGACACATGACAGGATTGTGGCCCGAAATGATTTTTAAAAAGCACTACTACTGGAGGGGAATTTAAAAGAAGTAACATAAAAATTGCACCTCATAGTGGTAAATAGAGACGGTGCAAGACAGTGTGACTTCCTAGAGGTAATACCCTAAACATTGATCTGATTACTTTGGTAATATTTTTATAGAGGAAAGTGACTCCATGATTAACAAATATTTGAAAGACTGTTTCTTCCAACAAGGTTGTTCTCAGGGAGAAACTTAAAATCTATCAGTGTTGTCTATGGGAATATTATTGTTTTCTGCCAAGATGTTTCTAAGTTCTTATTTCTCCTCACCAGTTTTCTAGCTGATAAAGATTTTTGCTCGTGTTATATATATAAAATTATGAGAACATTTAAAACTAGTTACTAGAGTAACTTAATAACTACTGTTAATAACTTGATAATCCAAACTCGTCCTTAAGACATTTCTGTTTGTCCTCTTATATCTACTCAGAGGAAAGTGCCTATAATAAAATAGTTTCTAAAATTCCAGGTAAAGTGGACACATACCACAGGAAGAAATAGCTAGCACTAAGAGTGAACATTATACTGAGTGGATACAATTTTTTGTTCCAGTCTTAGAGAGAAGAGGGGGACACTCAAGAAAATGTTAAGCCCTGGCCAGTTTGGCTCAGCGGTTAGAGCATCGGCCTGCGGTCTAGAGAGACCCGGGTTCGGTTCCCGCTAAGGGCACGTACCTCGGTTGCAGTTTGTCCCCGGCCCTGGTTGGTCGTGCGGGTGGCAGCCACTCGATGTGTCCCTTCACGTCGATGTTTCTCTCTCTCTCCCCCTTCCACTCTATCTGTACAAAAAAATGGAAAAATATCCTCGGGTGAGGATTTAAAAAAAAAAAAATGTTAAAACATATAAGAACAATGTTGTAACTTGTGCTGGAGTGATTATGACTATGTAGAGAATTCCAATTTAAGTTCTGGAAAATATTGTCAGGCATTATTTCCAAAAATTAACCATGTTTTTTATTTTAATGATTCCCATAGGTAATTCTGTTTTTTTTTTAATTATTATTTTAAAGTGGGAGGGAGAGAGGAGGGAAGAGAGAGAGAGAAACATCTATGTGAGAAAGACACATCAACTGGCTGCCACCCACATGAGCGCAACAGAGGCACGTGCCCCCAGTGGAACCAAACCCGGGACTCTCTGGTCCATGGGCCAACGCTCCAACCACTGAAACACACCGGCCTGGGCTAATTCTGGTATTTATATATTTTTTGTGTCGTCCTAAATTTTTGGATAAAGTATGGGATGAAGCATCTTGGCATGTGTAGGGGCCTTACTCCGAACTTGAATTGAAATATTAACAGAGTCCTGGCCGGTTTTGCTCAGTGGTTAGAGTGTTGGCCTTCGGACCAAAGAGTCACAGGTTTGATTCCAGTCAAGGGCACCACACCTCAATTGCGGTTCGTCCCTGGCCCTGGTTGGGGTCCTGCGGGATGCAATCAATCGATGTGTCTCTCTCAAGTTGATGTTTCTCTCTCTCCCTCCCACCTTCCTTGTCAAGTAGATGTTTCTCTCTTTCTCTCTCCCCTTCCCATTCTATCTGAAGATAAATGGAAAGATATCCTCAGGTGAGCATTACAAAAAAATACAAATAAAATATTTCTTGTGGAAAAAAAGAAAAATATTAACATAGATGCTTTTGCCATCTCTGAGGCCTTTGCTTGAGATGTGTTAGTTCCTCTCTTGTCTGCCTTTATAGCAGTCTTCTTAAAGCAGTCCAAGATTATAGGAGATCTGGCCAAATGTGAAGACTTCTGGGTCCAGGAATATTCCTAGGCCTAATCCTACTATGAGGGTTCCTCAAGTTCAAACCATTTCAGAGTTCTTTCCATACTAAATTAGTCATAAATACCCAGGCTTAGACAGCAAAGGACATTTGTTTGCCACCATTTCTACCATTGTTTATAGCTTAACATTTTAAAAAATGTTTTTATTGTTTTTTTTTTTTTTTAGGGAGAGAGGAATGGAGACTCATGGATCAGCTGCCTCCTTCACGCCCTCTACTGGGGATGGAGCCCGAAACCTGGGCATGTTCCCTGATCAGGAGTTAAACCAGGACTTCTCAGTCCATGGGACAACACTCAATCCACTAAGCCACACCAGCCAGGCTACAGCTTAATATTTTATTTGATATTGAGAATTTATTAGTTTAACAACGTTTTATTTTTAATCCTCACCCAAGGACATTTTGCCATTTTTTTGTTCAGATAAAGTGGGAGGGAGGGGAGAGAGAGAGAGAGAAACATCGATGTGAAGGGGACACTTTGAGTGGCTGCCACCCGCAGGACCCAACCAGGGCCAGGGACAAACTGCAACTGAGGTACATGCCCTTAGTGGAAGAAACCTGGGTCTCTCGGGACCGCAGGCCGACACTCTAACCACTGAGCCAAACCGGTCAGGGCTAGTTAACAACTTTTTGAATTGGACAAAAAGAAATATGAAGAAAAAAATATTTGGTCCAGTAGACAGTGAGGGTTCAAGGAGAATACATTCTCAACAAATATGTTTTGGCATATTTTTGTTTTTCTAGATGGAGAAGCAGTGTCTGACACTATTTTTTCACATTTAATAACTTGGTCTGCTTTGTATCTTGTATGTGCTTTTCAGTAAATATTTTTAAAATTAAATTAAATTGATTTTAGAGAGAGAGAAACATCAATTTATTATTACACATATTCATTCATTGATTATTATTATTTTTTATCCTCACCTGAGGACATTTTTGCATAGAGCAAAAGGAAGAGAGAGAGGGAGAGACATCAGCTGGTTGCCATCCACACGGCTGCAACCGGGGCAGGGACAAACTGCGACTGAGGTACTTGCCTTTAGTGGGAACCGAACCTGGGTCCCTCTGGACCGTGGACTGATGCTCTAACTGCTGAGCCAAACCGGCCAGGGCCATTCGTTGATTCTTGTATGCGCTCTGATCGGGGATCATATCAGGTTAGTGCTCTAACCAACTGAGCTACGTGGCCAGGACTTCAATAAATATATAAGTATGTATGTATGTAAAAATGTGTGAATGTATTTTTTGTTAATATTCACCTGAGGACATTTTTCCTTTGATTTTTTTTTTTAGAAGAGAGTGGAAGTAAGAAAGGGAGGAAAGGAGAGGAAGGGGAGGGAGAAAGAGAGAAAGATGGATCTGACAGAGAAGAGATCTATTAGTTGCCTCCTAAATCCCTCCACCAGGGCCTGTGCATCAAACCTACATCTCAGGTACATGCCCTTGACTGGGAATCAAACCCACCACCCTTCAGTGCTTGGGACAATGTTCTAACCACTGGGATGCACCAGCTAGGGCTTCAGTAAATATTCTATTTATTTTTTTATTCCTCACCCGAGGATATTTTTCTGTTTATCTTCAGGTTGAGTGGGAGGGAGGAAGAGAGAAAGAAACATCGATGTGAGAGGGACACATCACCTGGGTTGCCTCCCGCATGACTTTGGGAACGAACCACAACCAAGGTATGGGCACTTGACCAGAATCCAACCTGCGACTCATTGTCCGTGGGCCGATACTCTAACCACTGAGCAAAATCAGTCAGGGCATTTCATAAATATTTTAAGTGAAACGAACAGAAAGCCTTTCTGCCCTCAATTTAGAATATAGCACCCAGTATTTTTGTACATGTGCATAAGTAACTATAGCACAAAGTAGATTAAATGTTATTGAACTAAAAGAACTATGCCCTGGCCAGTTTGGCTCAGCAGTTAGAGCGTCGACCTGCAGTCCAGAGAGACCCGCTTTCGGTTCCCACTAAGGGTGTGTACCTCACTTGCAGTTTGTCCCTGGCCCTGGTTGGTCGTGTGGGTGGCGGCCACTCGATGTGTCCCTTTCACATTGATGTTTCTCTCTCCCTCCCCCCCCCACTCTATCTGAACAAAAAATGGAAAAATGTCCTTGGGTGAGGATTAAAAGAAAAAACTGTGACTGGTCTTATGTGATCCCATGTGATGAAGGTCTCTGCACCAGCCTTATATGATATCATAAAAGCTTATACTGGCAAAGTCTTGTTTACAGGTTTTAGCAGGGAACTAACTTGTTTTAAATCTTGAAAGCATTAAATAAAATTTCTGTATCTATAAATTGGCACTACTTTCTAGTTAACTAGAATTTGGACTGTGAGAAACTCTAAATCTGGCTTATGAATAAACCATCTTGTGTTTTCCTCCCAAATTTTATATTTTTCAATTTTTTTAAAAATAGTTTTTAGCTTGCAGAAAAACTGCAACTGCAGTGCAAGGAACTTTTTTAACATGCCCTCAACACCACTGAGTGTATATTTCCTCTAAAATACAACCATCAAACTCAGGAAATGAATACTGATCCATTAATACTATCTAGTTCTCCTAATTATATATTGTATTTTATGGCTCTTAATTGCCTTCATTCTGAAACAGCCCTTCAGTCTTTCCTTGATTTTATGACCTTGGCAGTGTAGAATCTTACTGGCCAGTTATTTTATAGATATCCCTCACTTAGGTTTGTCTGATCTTTCCTTAGGATTAGATTTAGCTTAATATATTTCTTAACAGATTTATCACTTCCTGAAACTTTTACACTCTTGTGACTGGTGTTTGGATGTCACTCTAAATACATTCCCCTATGCAGCATTTAGAAACTTAGGAAAAACACAGCTTAAAAATCTTGGTGTCTTTATTAAATTGTAACTACAAAGAGCTAGGATTTGATTACTGTTCTTTTGAAAATAGTTTTTCTGTAGAATAGAATTTTAAAGAATTTTGACATGTCTATAGGCCGGACCCTTATCGTTAAATTAGTTTGCTTTGCTCAGTGCAAGCTAAGATGTAACTAACATTAAAAAGAATGGGATAAGTGCACATTTTTTATGATTGGTGTTTATAAGAAATTTCAAATTTTGTTTTTATTATATTTGCTGTTTTACTCTTATACTTTTTTTTTTTTATTCTCACCCGAGGACTTTTTTCCATTTTTTGTTCAGATAGAGTGGGAAGGAGAGAGAGGAAAAGAGAGAGAGAGAGAAACATAGAAGTGAAAGGGACACATAGAGTGGCAGTCTCCCGCATGACCCAACCAGGGCTGGGGACAAACTGCAACTGAGGTACGTGACCTTAGCGGGAACTGAACCCAGGTTTCTCTGGACCACAGGCCGATGCTCTAACCGTTGAGCCAAACCGGCCAGGGCTACTCTTATACTTTTGCTTTGTATTGGTTTCATGAAAAAATAACATTGACTCTGAAACCTATATATTTTTTTAATCCTCACTAGAGGATATATTTTTCTTGATTTTTTTTTTTTAGAGAGGAAGGGGGAGAGCGAGCAACATCGATGTGAGAGAGAAACATTGATTGATTGTCTCTCGTATGCACCCCATTGGGGATCGAACCTAAAACCTGGGTATGTGCTATGATGGGAACCAAACTCATGACCTTTCAGTGTACTGGACAATGCTCCAACCAACTGAACCACACGGACCATAATAAAGGCTATATAATTTTATTAACTAATGTCATCCCAATAAGTTCAATTTTTTAAAAAAGATAGTATTGAGAGTGAGAAGGCAAGCCACAGGGTGAAAAGGTATTTGTAACATGTAAAACTGATAAGGACCCTGGCCAGTGTGGGAGACAACCAATCGATGTCTCTCTCACATAGATATTTCTTTCTCTCCCTCCCTCCCTCCCTCCCAGCTCTTTCCTTTCCCTCTTCTCTTCCCTCACTTTCCCCTCTCCCGACCCCCATCTCCTCCCTTCCTCTCTTTCATTCTATCTAAAAATATCCTTAGGTGAGGATTAACAAAAGGAAATAAAACTGATAGGGCTGGTATGCAAATTTACAAAGAACACTTAGAAATAAATGTGGCAGACAACCTAATAGAAAGCTAGCTAAGAGTTAAACTTGATGAAAAAGGCTATTCAGATGATCGATAAATACATGATAAGGGACTCTACTGTGAGAACACTATACACCTATCAAAATGGCTAAAATTTTCTAAGATGGACAATAGCTAAACGTTAGCTAATGTATGAATCAACTGGAATTCTCACACACTACTGATGTAAGTGTAAATTGGTTAAAGAATTTAGGAAAACCTATATGTATTAAATATATATTTTTTTTGAGAGAGAGAGAAACATTGATTTGTTGTTCCACTCATTTATACATTCATTGGTTGATTCTTGTATGTGCCCTGACCCAGGATTGAACCTGAAACCTTGGCATATCAGGATGACACTCCAACCAACTGAGGTACCCAGCCAGGGCCCAGTACATAAATTCAACATACGTATACCTTTATTTATTTATTTTATTTTATTTTTATTTTTTATCCTCACCCGAGGACATTTTTGCATTTATCTTCAGAAAGAGCAGGAGGGCGAGAGGGAAACATTGATGTGAGAGAGACACATCAAGTGGTTGCCACCTACACAACCCCAACCGGGACCAGTGACAAACTGCAACTGAAGTACGTGCCCTTAGTGGGAACTGAACCCAGGACTCTCTGGACCACAGGCAGACACTCTAACTGCTGAGCCAAACTGGCCAGGGCCATATACCTTAATTTAAATTCAACATGCATAAACCTATGTCCAGAAATTTCATCCAACTAAAATGTAAGTATGGATATAAATGGGTGTAAAGAATTGATACTTGTTGGACTGGTGTGGCTCAATGCTTGAGCATTGACTCATGCACTAAGGGGTCGCTGGTTTGATTTCCCGGTCAGGGCACATGTCCAGGTTGTGGGCCTGATCCCCAGTGGGGGGCATGCAGGAGGCCGCCAATTGATGTTCTCTCTCATCGATGTTTCTAGCTCCCTGTCCCTTCCTCTCTCTCTAAAATCAGTAAAGAAAAAAAATTAAAAAAAGAATCGACACTTAAGGGTTTTTTGGGGTAGATTCCTTTCTGTTTTCCAAATTAATATATCTCCTTGTTTTACATGACAGTTAATGGCTTCCCCCCCAGGCAAATTTTAGTTAATTCTTTGTGATCTCCAGCTTTAATTATTGTGGAGTGCCCTTAATCCACTGAATATTTTGGGCATTGCACTGTTGCATGTAGTTCATATGCTTCAGAGTCTGTCCCTAATAGAGTATATAGCACTAGTTTTTTGTAGTCTTATTTTCCCTTGATTTAAAGTTATTTGTACAGTTAGTCCTCACTTAATGTTGTTGATAGGTTCTGTAACTTGAAGCAAAACATGTAATGAAGCCAATTTTACCATGGGCTAATTGATATAAACGAGTTAAGTTCCTACTGCATCTCTTCAACCTTAAAGCGACTTTATACGAAGACCTGCTGTGTGCAATTCGTGGTGTTGCTCTGGAATATATAGGGTGAAAAGGGCTTGCCAGTGTCAAGAGGAAGTACTGATAGGTGAAGTTTAGAGGCGATAAGGAGAAAATATATGAGGGGCATGTGAATATAAGCAAGAAGAATCTTTACAGGGTCCAATAAAAGGAAGCAAACATTTTGAATTATTATACAATGACTTTGTAATTATCTCCTAAACTGCCTTTTTGAATTTAATTGAGCTCTTACTAGATTTTAATATATCTGCTGAATTCTAAATTAACAACTTGTTCAAATGATTTTGTCATTATATGTTTTTCTGCCTTTTTTCCTTTTTTTCTGGGAATGGACACAGAGAAGCCGTGTAATTTATTAGGTTTATTGAAGCAAGGAATGGGTAAGATTTTCATTAACCAGTATACTAAAAAAATTAATAAAATTTTAAGCTGAATAAACCTATTTATAATAATACTGAATTATTCAAATAGTTGAGTTTTTACTATTTAAGGTTTGAAAGGTACTCATCTAAATGTCTAACTTTTTTTCCAGCATAAACGAATGTTGCTTGGCTTAGTGAATTTTACTTTTCTAAACAAATGTCTTTTTTTTTCCCTTTCTCGTCTTCCTCAAGCATGGGAGGTAAAATACCACCTGCTACTCATAAAACTAAACCAGAAGAAAATAAGGTAAGTTATGAATTTTATTTGTATATTCAGTAATAAAGTACTATAAGGTTTCTTGGTGATGTTTTATTAACTGCTGCCCTCAAATTACCACTCCTGATCTCCCCAAGATCACTTGGAAATAAGATCTTTGTAAAATTTCTATTTGGACATTAAATCCCTTGAAACTGATTTAAAATCTTCACTATGTTTTAGAATAAATGCTCTTTTTTTTTTTTTTTTTAAATGTTCTGTAAGTGGTGAGCTCTGTGATTGAGTGCATTTTGTAGTCTTCATCATTGTATCTTTAGCGTCTAGCATAGTATTTTATGCAGTGTAGATACTTTATTGATATTTGCAAAGTAAAGGAACAAATAGTCCAAATTAGTAATTCCCTATTTTTTCTGCCCTACCACAAGAGGGTTTTTTAAAAATATGGTTCATGGTGTTGCTGTTTTATTTAGAATCCTAAACAAGGTTTATCGATTTTGATGTGAAACTAGAAGTTGTATCTTTGAACAACTGAAACAAAAGAAGTAAATTTTCTTAGATGAGTCATTTGTCAGAGTTTGGTAGTTTCTGAGCCCTGGGTAGGATATTTTGCCATGTGATAAACATGTATTAAGACAGAATTATATTTGACCTATACCTCTGCTCTGCTAAAAACAATTTTGCAGTGAAAACATTCTGATTTACAAATTATAACTGGTATGTTTCTCAGTATATACTGAACCATCTGGCACCTTGTACATGGTAGGTAGAGATTCAACAAATGGATGTACAAACTACACTGGATACTTAAAAGATGGGAAAGAGATTTGGGTATACTCTTTAAATTCTTTGAATTTTCATCGTTTGTGTGTTATCCATAGTTTCTTATTGGGAATTACAAAACTAAAAATCTTGAAAATGTAAAACTTTTTACTAGGTTTGTTTGGCACTAAAACATCTGAGTAAACATGAGGCTACTTACAATTTTATTTATTTATTGTAATCCTCTCATACGCGCCCTGACCTCACCCTGACCAGGATCAAACCAGCAACCTAGATGTGTGCCCTGACCAGAAATTGAATCCACAACCTTTTGGCCCGGGCGAGGCTATTTAGTTTTAATCCTACCTGTTATGAATGCTCAAACTTTATTTTGCAGAAGTAATGTGTTTGCTATGGAGAGTTGTAGATTTTGGTGCCTGTTTAAAGTATTACATAGTCTAGGCATCTGTATTAGCTTTCTAAGATCCAAAATATTTTAAAACCTAAAAGTCATCATTGATAAGGTTTGGATGAAGGGCTGGACCTATATTTAACTTGAAAAGAAATGAAAATAGAAAACTAGAACTCACCAAAACAAAACAAGAAAGGAAGATGCATGAAATAGAATGCGTATGAGCAGTTCATACATAAAATTGTATAAATTAGTATAGATATATTGGGTGTGCTATTAAATACTGATATAGTATTGTTTGCCTTCCCTTTGCTAGGAAGAAAAAACAGATAGTAAGAAGGCGGAGGAAGACATAAAGACAGACGAACCATCAAGTGAGGAAAGTGATCTAGGTGAGGAGGTAGTAATTTGTACTTGATAATCCTGATGATAAGATCCTGTGTTGATTTTTGCTAATTTGACTAAACCAGTGCTATCTATTAGAAATAGGATGTGAGCTACATGTGAAACTTAAAATTTTCTAGTAGCCACATTTTAAAAATTAGGTGAAATTTACTCAAACAATATACTTAAACTAATATATCTAAAATATTAACATTTTAACATGTCACTATGGAAAGATTATTAATGATATCTTTTTTCATATTAAGTCTTCAAAATCCAGAGTGTATTTTACACTTCTAGCATACCTCAATGCAGATGTTACATTTTTGTTAGAAGTACTTGATTTGTATTTGAACTTCATAAAATTTGTAGTTGAAAAGTTTGGTCACAGCCTGGCCAGTGTGGTTCATTGGTTAAGCGTCAATCCTTGCACCAAGAAGTTGCCGGTTTGATCCCTGGTCAGGGCACATGCCCAGGTTATGGGCCCAATCCCCAGTTGGGTGTATGTAGGAGGGGGCCAGTTAATGTTCTCTCTCATCGGTGTTTCTATCTCTCTCGCTCTCCCTCTCTCTCTAAAATCAATATTAAAAAAAAGTTTGGTCACATACTCAAGTTGTTCTAAACAAATGTTAAAATTTTCTAGTAATGGCCCGGAAAACCAAAAAATTATTATTTTTTTTCCTTTAAAATTTTTTTTGATTTTTTTTTTTTTTTTAATTTCTCACCTGAGGATATTTTTCTATTTATCATTAGATAGAGTGGGAGGGGGAAAGAGTGACAGAGAGAAGCCTTGATGAGATAAAGCCACATCGACGGGTTGCCTACTACCTGACCCCACCAGGGTGGGGGATGAACCACGTCCAAGGTACGTGCCCTTGACCAGAATTGAACCTGTGACTCATTAGTCCGCAGGCCAATGCTCTAACTGCTGAGCCAAACCGGCTAGGGCTTAAATTGATTTTGAGAGAGAAACATTGATGTGGGAGTGAAAAATGGATTGGCTGCCTCCTTCACACCCTCTACCAGGATTGACCCAAAACCCAGGCATGTGCTCTGACCAGGAATCAAACAAGCAACCTTTCGGTGCACAGGAAAACTGGTTCATTTTAGAACAGTTGTAATCTATACCATGAGTTTGGTGGGGTTTTGTTGTATATTTTTATTTTTAATTTATTTTTGTTACAGGTGGTTCTCCTTTTTCTCCCCATTGACACCCTCCTCCCGATCCCCCCCTCCCCCCCAGCATAGTTGTCTGTCCACTGGTTATGCATATATGTATATATAAGTTCTGTGGTCTAACTCTTCCCTCCCCCCATCCCCTCTTCTGAGGTTTGTCAGTCTCTACCCCACATTCATGGCTCTAGGTCCATTCTGTTCATCAGTTTGTTTGGTTCATTATATTCCACAAGTAAGTGAGATATGATATTTGTCTTTCTCTGATTGGCTTATTTTCCTTAGCATAATACTCTCCAGGTCCCTCCATGTCATCTCAAATGATAAGACATCTTTCTTTCTTACAGCCGCATAGCATTCCATTGTGTATATGTACCACGGCTTTTTTATCCACTCATCTATTGATGGACACTTGGGCTGTTTCCAGATCTTAACTATTGTAAATATTGCTGCGATGAACATATATTCTTTCTGATTGGTGTTTCAGGCTTCTTAGGGTATATCCTTAGAAGTGGGATCATTGGGTCAAATGGCAGTTCAAGTTTTAACTTTTTGAGGTAACACCATAGTGTTTTCCATAGTGACGGCACCAGTCTGCATTCCCACCAGCAGTGTACTAAAGTCCCCTTTTCTCCACCCCCTTGCCAGCACTTATTGTTTGATGTTTTGTTGATGGCAGCCATTCTGACAGGTGTGAGATAATAGCTCATTGTTGTTTGTTTGTTTGTTTTTTATCCTCACCTGAGGACATTTTTTGATATTTTGTTCAGATAGAGTGGGAGGGAGACAGAGAGAGAGAGAAACATCGATGTGAAAGGGACACATCGAGTGGTCGCCACCCACACGACCCAACCAGGGCCGGGGACAAACCGCAACCGAAGTACATGCCCTTAGCGGGAACCGAACCCAGGTCTCTCTGGACCGCAGGCTGACGCTCTAACCGCTGAGCCAAACCGGCCAGGGCGTCATTGTTGTTTTAATTTGCATCTGTCTGATGATTACTGACATTGAGCATTTTTTCATATGTCTCTTCGTCATTTGTATGTCCTGTTTGGAGAAGTGTCTGTTTAGATCCTCTGCCCATTTTTTTTTTTTTTTTATCTTCACCCGAGGACATTTTTCCATTTTTTGTTCAGACAGAGCGGGAGGGAGAGAGAGGCCCATTTTTAAATTGGATTCTTTGTCTTCCTTTTCTTGAGTTGTATGAGTACTCTATATATTTTGGAGATTAACCTTTTTTCTGATGTATTGTTGGCAATTATGCTATCCCATATAGTGGATTCCCTTTCCATTTTGATGCTTGTTTCTTTTGCCGTGCAGAAGTGTTGTATTTTAAGATGACGACACTGATCAAATAAATCTCTTCGTCAGTTTTCAAGTCCTTTTAGAGACTGTAACTATATACTCCAATTATTAACTGGGCAGTCGCTTAATTCACAGAACCCATCTAAAAGCTAAAGACGACTAACAATTTTTCAAATTTTGAATCAATTGAGCTTTGTTATTAGAAAGGGCTTGTTATTTGGGGGCTTAATTGAAAATCTTTAACTTTTTCTAAGAACTTTTTTAGTTTTATAGTTTTCTAACAATTTTCATAACTAATTTTTTTTACCAACTCTCAGGCAGCATTTTAGTTTTAGTGCGTGAATTCAAACTGTTTTATAATTAGACAAAGCTACAAGTTTAGTTCCTGTTAAAAATTGATTAAAAAAATTTTTTTTCTCATTATTGATATTAGAGGGGAAGGGAGAGGGAGAGAGAGATAGAAACATTGATGAAAGAGAACATCGATTGGCCACCTCCTTCATGACCCCCACTGGAGATTGGGCCCACAACCTAGGCATGTGTCCTGACCAGGAATTGAACCAGCGACCTCTTGGTACATGGGTCGATGCTCAACCATTGAGCCACACTGATGGACAATTAAAAACATTTTTTTATGGGATGTTAATTCTGATTTTAGGTAGCTAATTTTATTTCTTTTTTACTGCTAAAAATAAACTTATCAAATTCACTGTTTGCAAAAAACATGACCTAATATTGTTTGTTTTTAAAAGTTTATGCACGTACATGCACGTGCTCGCACACACATGTAAACAGTTTTACTAGATTTGCTATAGCAAATTATGGTGGTCCATCATGAAATTGACAACATACCTCTTTCCAGTCTTCACTATTTTGGATATAGTGTGCTAGCTTTGGGGCTTGATTCTGCAGCAGTATTATACCTTTATTTTAAAATGAAAATTTAGCCCTGGCTGGTTTGGCTCAGCGGTTAGAGCATTAGCCTGCCGAGAGACCCGGGTTCGGTTTCCGCTAAGGGCATGTACCTCAGTTGCAGTTTGTCCCCGGCCCTGGTTGGGTTGTGTGGGTGGCAGCCACTCGATGTGTCCCTTTCACGTTGATGTTTCTCTCTCTCTCTCTCTCTCTCTGTTCTCTCTCTCTCTCTCTCTCTCTCTCTCTCCCCCTCCCTCCCTCCCTCCCTCCCTCTCCCTCTCCCTCTCCCTCTCCCTCTCCCTTCCACTCTATCTGAACAACAAAATGGAAAGGTGTCCTCAGGGGAGGATAAAAAAAAAAAAAATTGAAGACAATTCGTAGGGTACATTAAATTTAAAAAAATAAATAAAATAAAATGAAAATTTATCCAAACTTTTTTTTTTTAATCCTCACCCGAGGACATTTTTCCATTTTTTGTTCAGATAGAGTGGGAGAGAGAGAGAGAAACATCGACGTGAAAGGGACACGTTGAGTGGTTGCCACCCGCACGACCAACCAGGGCCGGGGACAAAACTGCAACCAAGGTAGTTTGTCCCTTTGGGGGAACCGAACCCGGGTCTCTTTGGACCGCAGGCCTATGGGCTTATCCAAACTTTATTAAAACAAAAATACAGTTGTCCCTAGCCACTTCGCGCTTTGACTTTCGCAGCTTTACTCTATTGCGGTTTTTTAAAATACAGTACTAGATCGGAAAAAACCGTGATAGAGTGAAGCTGTGAAAGTTGAAGCATGAAGTGGCAAGGCACGACTGTATAAATAAAGAGTCATTCTTTGGAAATTCATTTATCGTGGTAGAGTCTGGAACTGATGAACCGCAATAAACGAGGGCCGGCTGTAATTATATTAAGTGTTTCATCATAATTTACATCGAAGTATCAGTGCAACTTGTGCTATCTGCATAAAATATATTTTAAAACATTACAGTACATTGGTGTGTAGAACAAGACATTTGAATTGAATCAGTCAATGTATGATACTAGAAACTATGCACTACAACGCAATGGTAAATACCTTACATAATGCAACAGTTGAAATGAAATGTAATCTTACCATAACACTGAAGTTGTGTTCAATGGAAAAATATTTTTCAATACACTAGTTTAAATAAACACAAAGTAAAATATTTAAATTGAAATAAATTAACAGAAAGCAAAATATTTGATTAATTAGTTGCACTAACCATAGTTCACTAGCTTTTTGTTGTTGTTAATCCTCACCCGAGGATATTTTTCTCCATTGATATGTAGAGAGAGTGTAAGGGAGGAGAGTAGAGAGGGAAATATTGATGTGAGAGAGATACATTGATTGTTTTCCTGCCAAATGCACCTTGACTGGAGCTGGGATTGAACTGGTTTGATCCCTTGAACAGGAATCAAACACGAAACCCTTTGGTTCAAGGGTTGGTTTGAGAGCTGAAGCTCTATCCAACTGAGCCACGCTTAACAGAGCGTTCATTAGTTTTTAATAGTTTTATTTGTCATTTTCTTCTTCTACAGAAATCGACAACGAGGGCGTGATTGAACCAGACACTGATGCCCCTCAAGAAATGGGAGATGAAAATGTAGAGGTAAGTTTGATGGCTTATTTTCTGCTTGTTATAGGAATGTGAAGGTGCCACCTGTTGCAATGACTTTATGACCTAATTCTCCCAGGAGAAGCACATATTAAATCCTTCTCTGGTCTAGCCAGTGTGACTCAGTGGTTGAGCGTTGACCCATGTACTGAGAGTTTGCACGTTCGATTCCCAGTCAAGACACATGCCCAGGTTATGGGCCCGATCCCAGTAGGGGGGCATGCAGGAGACAGCCATCGATGTTCTCTCATCAATGTTTCTATCTCCCTCTCACGTTCTCTCTAAAATCAATCAAAGAAAAAAAAAATTTCTCTGACTTACAGCATTTAGGAAAGCATTTCATTTTACTAAAAATATTTGTGAAAATTTTTGTTATTTTTTGTTTCTGTTCAGATAGAGTGGGAGGGTGAGAGAGAGAGAGAAACATTTACGTGAAGGGGACACATCTAGTGGTTGCCACCCACACAACCCAACCAGGCCGGGGACAAACTGCAACCGAGGTACGTGCCCTTAGCAGAAACTGAACGTGGGTCTCTCTGGACCGCAGGCCTACGCTCTAACTGCTGAGCCAAACCGGCCAGGGCAGAAAATTTTCGTTATTTTTATTTTTATTTTTCTTATCCTCACCCGAGGAGATTTTTCCATTTTTTTGTTCAGATAGAGTGGGAAGGAGAGCCCTGGCCAGTTTGGCTCAGCGGTTAGAGCGTCGGCCTGCGGTCCGGAGAGACCCGGGTTCGGTTCCCGCTAAGGGCACGTACTTCGGTTGCAGTTTGTCCCCGGCCCTGGTTGGTCGTGCGGGTGGCAGCCACTTGATGTGTCCCTTTCACGTCGATGTTTCTCTCTCTCTCTCTCTTCTTCTCTCTCTTCCTCCCACTCTATCTGTACAAAAGATGGAAAAATGTCCTCGGGTGAGGATTAAAAAAAAAAAAAGAGTGAGAAGGAGAAGGAGAGAGAGGCAGAGAGAGAGAGGAAACATCGACGTGAAAGGGACACATCAAGTGGCTGCCACCCGCATGACCAACCAGGGCCGGGGACAAACTGCAACTGAGGTACATGCCCTTAGCGGGAACCGAACCCAAGTCTCTGTGGACCGCAAGCTGATGCTCTAACCGCTGAGCCAAACCGTCCAAGGCAAATTTTCGTTATTTTTAATCATACTCTAAAAATTATGAAATTCTTGTTTTCTTTTTACCTGCTTTTTCTATTTGCATGTGATTTGACTGCAGAATTGTTTATTTCTTTTTTTTTTTGCACCTGCCCCCGCCGCCTGTGCATGCTCTGCCCGCCCACCCACCTACCTACCTCCAGAATTGTCTATTAATGGGATCTCTAATGCCAAATTGTTTTTTGGTTTTTTTTTATCCTCACCCAAGGACATTTTTTCATTTTTTGTTCAGATCGGGGGGGTGGGGGGGAACATCAATGAGAAAGGGACACATCGAGTGGTTGCCACCCGCATGACCCAACCGGGGCCGGGGACAAACTACAACCGAGGTACATGCCCTTAGTGGGAACTGAACCTGGGTCTCTCTGGACCACAGGCTGACGCTCTTAACTGCTGAGCCAAACCGGCCAGGGCCCAAATTGTTTTCTTAAATGTTTTGTCACCGCAAGTGTGATATTGCCCTTAAGGTGGTAAAAATTTTTTTTGGAAGGGGTATTGAAAGAAACTTAGATATTACAGTGGTTACTGGTCTTCCAAAGGAATGCACTACATTAAAATAATATGCTTTATATCTGTTGTATTAAAATTGAGGGGGTGAGAATTAAGAAAAAAATGTCTGAAAAGGCTCTATGGGGGTTGATGTATAAAAGTTTGAGAAACAGCTTGGTCAGTGTACCTCAATGGATTGTGCCTTGTCCCATGGACTGAGAGGTCCTGGGTCGATTCCCAGTCAGGGCACGTGCCCAGGTTGCAGGTTCAATTCCCAGTGGGTGTTTGTGCAGGAGGCAGCCAATCAATATTTCTCTCTCACATCGATGTTTCTGTGTCTCCCTTCCTCTCTTTCTCAAAAAAAATTTTCAATAAAAACTTGTGTTTTTTTGCCCTGGCCGGTTTGGCTCAGCGGTTAGAGCATCAGAGAGACCCGGGTTTGGTTCCTGCTAAGGGCGGGTATCTCGGTTGCAGTTTGTCCCCAGCCCTGGTTGGGTCATGTGGGTGGCAGCCACTCGATGTGTCCCTTTTGTGTCAATGTTTCTCTCTGTCTCTTTCTTCCTCTCTCTCCCTCACACTCTATTTGAACAAGAAATGGGGGGAAAAAAACTTGTGTTTTTTTTAAAGTTTGAGAAACACTATAACATAGTAATAGCAGCTTTAAGAGGAGGTTGATCTGTGTCCTCACCAGTGTTTGATACTGTCAGATTTCATCCTTGCCAATCTTACTGTGTGAAAGGCTATGTCCCTGTGGCTTTTTTAAAAATATATTTTTTGGTCATTTTAGAGAGAGAGGGAGAGAGAAATATTGATGAGAGAGTGAACATCAATCTGCTGCCTTCTGCATACCCTCTACCTGGGACCTGAGCATGTGCCCTGACCTGGAATAGAACTAGCAACCTTTTGGTGCACAGGATGATGCCAAACCAACTGAGCCACACTGGCCAGGGCTATGTCCTTGCGGCTTTTAATTTGCATTTTCTTGATTTCTAATAAATTTGAGCATATTTTGAAGTTTACTGGACATTCACAGGAATTTCCGAAGGCCTATTCTGACTTTTCCCATTTTTCTTCCTTTTTGTTAATCCTAGCCTGAAGAAATTTTTCCATTGATTCTTAGAGTGGAAGAACGGGGGGGGGGGGGGCATCGATGTGAGAGAGACACATAGATTGGTTGCCACCTGCACGACCCCAGCTGGGGCTGGGGACGAACTGCAACCGAGGTATGTGCCCTTAATGGGAACTGAACCCAGGACTCTGTGGTCCACGGGCCAATGCTCCAATCGCTGAGCCAAACTGGCCAGGGCTATATATATTTTAAATATTTTTCTTCATTGATTTTAGAGAGAGGGAGGAAGAGGCGGATAGAAACATTGATGAGAGAGACCATCAATTGGCCGCCTCCTGCACAACCCCTACTGGGGGTCAAGCCCACAACCTGGGCATGTGCACTGATCAGGAATCGAACCAGCAACCTTTTGCTGCATGGGTTGATGCTCAACCACTGAGCCACACTGGCTGGGCAGCACCATTATTGAATGTCTTTCCTCAATGCTATTTTCCTATTTGTGGGTCTGGTTTGGTGATTTTTTGTTTGTTTTATTTGTCTAATTTTTCCCATGTGCTAATTACACATTGTCTTGTATACCTTTATGTTAAATCTTGTTAACTAGTAGGGCAAAGGCTGTTCTTGGCCCTTTGTTCTTCCATATAAATCAGATTGTCAAGTTCCTTCCTAAAAAGTAGAATTGTTTTCCCCCTGTTAAAATTGCATTAAATCGCCCTGGCCGGTTTGGCTCAGTGGAGAGACTCGGGTTCAGTTCCCGCTTAGGGCGCGTACCTTGGTTGCAGTTTGTCCCCGGCCCTGGTTGGATTGTGAGGGTGGCAGCCACTCGGTGTGTCCCTTTCACATCAATGTTTCTCTCCCTCTCTCTTCCTCTCTCCCCCTCCCACTCTATCTGAACAAAAAATGGAAAAAATGTCCTCAGGTTAGGATAATAAAACAAACATTAAATCTAAAGTTAGGAAGAAGATACGTCTCACTGTTGAGATAACTATCCATGAATGTGGTATCTAATTTTTAGGTCTTTTTCAGGCATCTTTCAATAACCTAACATTTTTCTTCTTAAAGGTGTTATGCATCTTTAAGAACAAATACAAGTATTTTATGTCACTATTTATAAAAGGAATTTTTAAAAATTTATGATCCATTTATTGATGGTTCTGTATCACTTCACTGTGTCTAAATTTATAATATTCTGTTTCTCTTGCTTGGGAGTTTTGGTCATCTTAAATTCTAGGGTTGTTAACTTTCTTTAGCTCTGGGACATTTTCAGTGACTCTCTCTTTCAAATATTGCCTCTTCCCCATTCTCACTACTGTCATTCTGAGGCACTAGTTAGATCTATGCTGAATTTTTTCATTATTAAGTTTTATCTCTTTCTCACTCTGCTGAATATGTATGCTTTCTTTGTCTTTGTTCCACTGATGTTTTCATTGGAATGCTTATGGTTTTTATTTTAATAATTTTACTTTGATTCTTTTTGAAGTCCACTTATGCTTGGCCAGAGTGGCTCAGTTGGTTGAGCATCGTCCTATGTACCGAAAGATTGCTGGTTCAGTTCCTGGTCAGTGCACATACCTGGGTTGCAGGTTTGTACCCCAACTGGAGGTAAGAGTCATACCTGCAACCCATGTGCGTGCCTTTGACTGGGAATAGAGCCTGACATCCTTTGGTACATGGGCTGACGCTCTTACCATTGAGCCATACTGGCCAGGGCTCAAATCATTGTCTTAATAAATGAACCGTCACCTCTAGTAATATTTTACACAGCGGTGCTGATAGAGTGTTTTTTCCTTTTGTTAAAAGAAACTGCTTCTTAACTTTCCATTTTAGGTAGGATGTTTGCTATAAGTTTTTGTTGATTATTTACTGTCAACATCTTTTACAGTGTTGGTTCTATCTAGTGTAGGTACTCAGTGGATGTTTGTTTGAACAAATTATGAGGTATTTATATTCTGAAAATTCAAGCCTAAAAGGAACTATCTTTAGTTACTTCTTGTCAGTAGACTGAGTTTTACTATTTGTGAATAGCTAGAAAGGACTTGGTAAGACAAGGGCAGAACAACCTGCTATGTTGGATGGAGAGCAGGGAAGGTAATATCTAAGGCAGAATGTAGGGAAGAAAATTTGTTCTATGTAAAAGATTAAAACTCATCCTGTGTAATTTCTTACTCAGTTATAATTATTCTCTTGGCTCCCTGGAGACTAGAGAAGAATGAATAAAAATGGGGTTTGTGACTTCATTCCTAAAAAGTCCAAATTACTTTCTTCTGTTTGCTCTCTTTACTATTCTAAGTCAACCTTCGATTTTCCCCTAGATTACTGAAGAGATGATGGATCAGGCAAATGATAAAAAAGTGGCTGCCATTGATGCCCTAAATGATGGTAAGTGATTTTTAAAAAATCTTTGCTACAACCCAGCCAGCTCAGTGGTTGAGCGTCGTCCCGTGGACCAAGAGGTCCCGTGGACCAAGAGGTTGCTGGTTCGATTCCCAGTCAGGGCACATGCCCCGATTGCAGTCTCAATCCCCAGTATAGGGCATGCGGGAGGTGGCCAATAGATATATCTCTCTCCCTCTCTCTTCCCCTTCCTCCTTCCCTCCTTCTCTCTCTCTAAAAAGCTATAAAAACATAAAATCTTTGTTACATTTTTGTGATTCTGGATATTTTTATCTACTACATTAACTGAAATAGTGGGAAAGGGTGAGGGAACTTAAATTTACTGAATATCTTTTTTTTCTAGTGTTTTTTATTGAATTTTTTTTTTTACAGAGAGAGAGAGAGGGGGGAACACTGATGTGAAAGCTCTGGCTAGTTTGGCTCAGCAGTTAGAGCGTATGCCTTTGTACTAAAGAGTCACGGGTTTGATTCCAGTCAAGGGCACAGAACCTTGGTTGCGATTGGGTCCTGGCCCTGGTTGGGGTCGTGTGGGAGGCATCCACTTGATGTGTCCCTTTCACATCGATGTTTCTCTGTCTTTCCCTCTCTCCCTCCCACTCTGTCTGAATAAAAATGGAAAAATGGTCTGGCCGGTGTAGCTCAGTGGTTGAGCATCAACTCATGCACTAAGAGGTCACCGGTTCGATCCTGGTCAGGGCACATGCCCAAGTTGTGCGCCTGATCCTCAGTGGGGGCATGCAGGAGATGACCAATTGATGTTCTCTCTCATCGATGTTTCTCTCTCTCACTTCTCTCTCAAATTAATAAAGAAAATTTAAAAAATAAATAAAACTTGCTCATATTTTTAAAAAAAAAGGAAAGATGTTTTTGGGTGAGGATAAAAATAGATAAATAAAAATAATAAAGACATCGATTCCAATTTGGGGACATTATTGTTTACCTTCTAAAATATCCTCTTTTGTTATGGTCATCTCTTAATATTGTTTCAATAAGCCTCTTTTTTTCCCCCAAGTGAATAAAAATCAAATAGAACTTGATATGTCTTTCACCAGTGGGGCTTAAATTGAATCTGGGCCTAAATACATCCTTAGGAGCATGTATGAACTGAACTATAAAAGGTAAGGGTACAATGCAAAAAAAAATGAAAGGCTTTCAGGAAAAGTGGTATTAAAATAGTGGCCCTCAGCTTTTTACATAGTAATACCAATCATTTATTAACTTGGGTACTATGCAAATCCCATCATAGCTGTGTGATAGTGTGTCACAATGCCATCCTTGAATACATGCTGGTGTACCTTTGGACTTCATCCATAGACTTGGAAGATAAGTAGTTTTATTTTCTTAAATAATAGTTTCTTAAGTAGTTTTATTTTCTTAGTATTGATTGCTCTTTCAAGTTGGCAGATACAGGTTGTGGCAAAGAAGGTTTACAAACTACCTTCTTGGTTTTTAGGTTCTTAATATGTTTGTGTTACTGCAATTGTCTTAGTGGTTGGCCTACCTGAAATGTCTGTTTTCTTTATTGCTTTCTGTTTACTTTCCCTAGATTCTTTTTATTTAGGACAGTTTTTTAATTGATTTTAGAAAGAGTGGGCTAGCTGGGGTGTTGGTGGTGAGGGAGAGAGAGACATCAATTTGTTGTTCCATTTCTTTATGTATTCATTGGTTAATTCTTGTATATGCCCTGCCCTGTGATCAAACCTGCAACCTTGGCATATCAGGGTGGTGCTCTAACCAACAGAGGTACCTCGCCAGGGCCTACAAATGTCTTATATTATTAAACACACTTCCTTACCTGTGACTAATTTTGAAAAATTTTTTTCTTTATTGTTTGGAGAGAAGGGAAGGGAAGGGAGGGGGGGAGAGAGATGGAAACACCAGTGAGCAAGAACAGCGATTGGCCACCTCCTGCATGTCCCCCACTGGGGATTTGATCCACAACCTGGCCATGTACCCTGACCAGGAATCAAACCGGCGACTTCTTGGTGCATGGGTTGACGTTCAACCGCTGAGCCACACCAGCCAGGCTGTGACTGATTTTTTTAATTATTCTGAAGATCATCAAAACATCAGACCTGCTAGAGTCAGATCCCTTATTATTACCCTTCCATTTCAGCCAGACCTAACTTTGCTGCAATGTTTTTTGTTGGTTTTTTTTTTTTTTTTTTTTGGTACGTACACCTAGGAGAAACCGAACCCAGGACTCTCTGGTCCGTGCTCCAACCGCTGAGCCAAACCGGCCAGGGCTGCTGCAGTATTTTTTTAACTTGTGCTCTACTGCACCTCTGTAAAGATTCTGACCTGTTTCGACTTTTAATTCATACTCATGAATGGATCCTAGCCATTTGTCTTCTTGACCATTCCTTTTCCACACTATAGTTTGTTTTTTTAATTTTTCTACCACATGAGATTTCTGTGTATCCAACATTTATTTGATGCTGTCTACATGCCTGGCAGTTTTATTATGTTCTAATGTGTATTATCTATTAAAACCTTATACTACTACCATTTTACAAAATAATGAATAAGCTGAGGGCCCAGAGGTTTTGACTTGTCCAGGATCTTAGTGTACCATATTGTCAATTCATTTATTACCTGTGTCACTTATTTTTGTTTGCTATCTGTATTTTTAAAAATTCATTTTCTTATTTATTGATTTAGCAATATTTAACAACATGAAAATGAAGCTGCTGCCACCTAAAGTCATGTTGTTTTTCCATATTCCTTTCCAAGCTATGTTTGTAAGTTCTAATTTTAGAATATGTACAAAAATTTTCTTTGTAGATTCTCACTGGAGGATATTTTTCCATTGATTTTTGGATGGAGTGGAAGGGGAGGGGAAGATGGAGAGGGAGAGAGAGAGAAACATTTATGTGAGAGAGACATGTCTATTGGTTGCCTCCCGAATGACCCTGACTAGGGACAGGGATTGAACCTGCAGCCAAGGTATGTGCCCTGGATTGGGAATTTAACCCAAAACCCTATGGTCCATGGGCCAGCGCTTTAACCACTGAGAAAAACTGTCCAGGGCTAGAATATATATAGTTTTATAGTATATCCTAAAGGGATAAAACACTGATATTCTAAGTCAAGAATTATTTCAGGCCCCACTTTGGTTTGGAGAAGCAGAAATCTAGTTAAACACTGGACTTAATGGAATTACAGTGCTTGGGTTTGAATACAACCTTTGGCACTTAGTAGCTAGGTAAATTAGAGAAGTTACTGTTTCCCTATGTCTGTTTTCTCCTTTATAAAATAAAATAAGGATCTAAGAGTACCTACCTATTAAGTCATGATGAATAAAAGAGTAAATATGTGTATTATGCTTAGAATAGAACATGTAAATATTCTTATGTAAGACCTTAAGTGTTTACAGCTGTTAATTATTAGTTGTATTTTTATTATGTTTCTTCAGTTTATTCATTCAAGTGTTGTTAATAGTCTTACCATGCTCTAAACAGTATTTTATCTTTAAAATTTTTATTGATTTTAGAGAGGGAAGGAGAGAGAGAGAGCTAGAAACATCTATGAGAGAGAACATCTGGTGGTCGCCTCCTGCATGTCCCCCACTGGGGATCAGGCCCACAACCTGGGCATGTGCCCTGACAGGGAATCGAACTGGCGACCTCTTGGTGTATGGGTTGATGTTCAACCACTGAGCCACTCCAGCCAGGCTATTCTTTAAGTTTTATCCATTTACTTTTTATTAATTAAAATTATCTCTGTCTTGAATGACTTGTAGTATAGGTTTGGTAAGGGTTTGCTTTGAAGAGCCAGTTTTGTATATTAATTTAGAAACTAGTCTCTTTTTTCCTCGTTTAAAGAATGTGAAAGACTAATTGGACAAGCGAGCAACATTGGTTTAAAATATTTTTTATCCTCTGGCTTTTTCTCAATAACTTTTGTTTTACTTTAGGTGAACTACAGAAAGCCATTGACTTGTTCACTGATGCCATCAAGCTGAATCCTCGCTTGGCCATTCTGTATGCCAAGAGAGCCAGGTGGGAACTCTAAACAAAATAGCATCCCCTAGTAAATAATTTTTGATAATTTATCTAAATAGACTTGCTTCTGTAGCAATCCCAAAGGTGTCATTCTTTTAAATGAATACTTTTTAACATCACACTTATTTTTTAGTGTCTTCGTCAAATTACAGAAGCCAAATGCTGCCATTCGAGACTGTGACAGAGCTATTGAAATAAATCCTGATTCAGCTCAGCCTTACAAGTGGCGAGGGAAAGCACACAGGTAAATAATAGAATTTATTTATTTTCAGAACTCTTTATCTAAATCCTGATGTTTTTAAATATGCTTTCCTCAAAAACAAAATTACCTAAAGATTTCATTTCAAAGTAATAATTATATGTACTCAGTATGAAGAAGTGAGAGACAATCATAAGGAACAAATAAGAAAATAAAAACACTTTACGCCTTTTAGTTGAAGAAAACTACTGTTACCGTTTTTGACCACATATAGCCAAATTTAAGATAAGGATTTTTCTCAAAACTATCTCCAGGAAAAGAGAGTGGCCTTTAGCAACAAAACTCACATTGGGATCTTTGTCTAGAAATAAAAGACAGAGATTTATTTAAGGGTCTTAGGGGCTTTCCAAACCAGAAACACAACTAAGTAATACCCAGACTGTTCTGAAGACAAAAGAAAAGTTGAGGATTCTTACAGTAAAAATACATTCTTGAGAAGAATCATTTCTGCATTCTTACCCCCTGGGTTGGTCCAAGATGGTCATCATTAGATGTCCTATGGTCTAGACAATGAAACATGTTCTTCTTGAGGTCATTCTAAAGGTTTGGTGTATGCCCAGGCATTCATGTAGAATGCATTGATATACATCCAAGTATTGACATGAGACTGAAAAGTTTAAAAGTTTGTTTCAACTATGGCCAGTTTGGTTCAGCGGTTAGAGTGTCAGCCTGCAGATTGTCTTGGGTTGCAGGTTCAATCTCTGGCCCGGGTCGGGGTTGTGCGGGAGGCAGCCAATTCTCTCTCTCTCTCTCTCTCTCCCCCTCCCCCCCGTCCTCCCTTTCTCTTTCCCTCCCTCCCTCTCCTACCCTCCTCCCATCCCCCAAAAATCCATGGAAAAATATCCTTTGGTAAGGATTAACAACAACAAAAAGTTTAAGTTCCTGGAGTCAGTTAAAACAAGAATAATCATTTTTTTATGCCTAAGCCCACTTTAATAATTTAGAAGCTTGACCATAAGGACTTCATTTTTTTCTTCATTGTATTCCTGACTAATTTTCTTATTTTCAGATTTTCTCTCTTGCAACTTAACATTAAACAACCAATATATTATAGAAGGAATTGACTAGCCTCCAACTACTTTAGTCAATGCTAGGTCATCTCAGTAATCAGAATAGGGGTCATATAAAGAGGTGAATTTAGCCTGGCCACTGTGGCTCAGTGGATGAGCATTGACCCATGCACCAAGAGGTCACTGGTTCAATTCCCGGTCAGGGCACATGCCCACGTTATGGCCCTGATCCCCAGTGGGAGGCATGAAGGAGGTTGCCAATCAGTGTTCTCTCTCATTGATGTCTCTCTCTCTCTCTAACATCAATAAAGAAAAAAAAAAACTAGTCCAGCCGGTGTGGCTCAGTGGTTGAGCGTCGACCCATGCACCAAGAGGTCACTGGTTCGATTCCTGGTCAGGACACATGTCCAGGTTGTGGGCCCGATCTCCAGTGGGGGGCATGCAGGAGGCGGCAAATTGATGTTCTCTCTCATCGATGTTTCTGTCTGTCTCTCTTTCTCTCACTTCCCCTCTCTCTCTAAAATCAATAAAAGGGAAAAAAATTTTTTTTAAAGTGAATTTTCCCTGGTCAGTTTGGCTCAGCGGTTGAGCGTCGGCCTGTGGACCAGAGAGTCACGGGTTCGTTTCCCGCTAGGGGCACGTACCACCAAAAAAAAAAATTTAATTTGCCCTAGCTGGTTTGGCTCAGCGGTTAGAGCATCGGCCTGCAGTCCAGAGAGACCCAAGTTCGGTGTCCGCTAAGGGCACGTACGTTGGTTGCAGTTTGTCCCCGGCCCTGGTTTGGTTGTGCGGGTGGCAACCACTCAATGTGTCCCTTTCAGGTTGATGTTTTTCCCTTCCTCCCTCCCTTCCGATTCCTCCCTCCCTCCCTCCCTCCTCCTCTCTCCCTCCCACTATATCTGAACAAAAATGGAAAAATGTCCTCAGGTGAGGATAAAAAAAAAAAAAGTGAATTTAGCCCAGATTAGTAGTATTCGTTCCTGGAAGCAAAACTGTGTTATACAAGTGGATATTTGTGGCTTGGGGATGAAATGTCCAATGACATTGACATCGTATATGCAGAGAAAAACTGCCGTATTTCAAGTGTGGGTGGAGATGAAGATGGATATGCTTGGGCCAACTGTCCTTAGTTGACTCCAGAAAGTAGCTCTAGTGATTATTAAGACGCATGTCGAAGATAATGGGTAAAAGGATAGAATAAATTTAAAATTCAACATTAAATGTATTGTGTATTTAGAAAAAATTGTTTTCTGTTAACCCTCACTCAAGGATACTTTTCCATTGATTAGATAGAGTGAAAGGGAGAGACAGAGAGAAAGGGAAACATTGATATTAGAGAGACATATCAATTGGTTGCCTCCCCCAGATCAGGGCTGGGGATTGAACCTGCAACCCAGGTATGTGCCCTTGACTGGGAATCGATCCTGAGACCCTTAGGTCCGAGGGCTGACACGTTAACCACTGAGCCAAACAGGCCAGGGCATATTTTGTATTTTTTTTTATTTCCAGTCCTCACCTGAGGATAATTTTCCATTTGTCTTGAAATAGAGTGTGTGTATGGGGAGAGAGAGAGAGAGAAACACGGAAGTGAAAGAGACATATCAACTGGTTGCCTCCCGCACAACCCCTATCAGGGCCCGGGGACAAACTGCAACTGAGGTACATGCCCTTAGCGGGAACCTAACCCGGGACTGTCTGGTCTGCGGGCTGACACTATAACTGCTGAAAAACCTGACCAAGGCAAGAAATCAATACTTTTTAAGTTGTAGAACATTTTTTAGTAGATGAGCAGTTTTAAAGTTAACCATAAAGGAAATTTAAACTCCTTCACATTTTTATAAAGTGAAGCATAGTAATTGAATTGGTTCATGAAAATTTATGGTTCAGTATTCAACTTAAACCTCTTCTGTAACAATCTTCTTTAAATAAGGAACAAAGACACCATAAGTGAATATGTATAAAAGACTAAAACGAGTTTAAATCTGTTTCAGACTTCTGGGCCATTGGGAAGAAGCAGCCCACGATCTAGCCCTTGCATGCAAATTGGATTATGATGAAGATGCAAGTGCAATGCTGAAAGAAGTTCAACCAAGGGTATGTTAAAAGTAGAGAAGGTAAAAGTTATTATTGTAGTGCTCCATGGCTCTCTAGTACTTAGCTCCTGGCAGAAAATTATCTGCAAAATAGGTGCAAAGAAACAAACATTTGGAAGTTATCATCTGTAATCACTAAACTTTGTGCTCAACTCAGGAAATCTCATTAGGTTTTCATGCTTTCATTTTTCATGCTGTATTATAGCAAGCTCTATTACGTTGTTTGAAAGCCTTCTATAAAATTAGAACAAAAAAAAATGAAATGGGGGCAAATAGAATATCTTTTAAATGTGAAACGAGATGGAGTTTTATCTGTCCTTATTTATTATAGGTATATACAGCTACAGTATATAACATGAGGAGCTGTGGTAGTAATGAGTTCAACCTTTTAAAATGATAGTACTGAATCCAAAAGCTAGAATATTATTATAAGATAATTTCTATCTAAAATTATCGGTTAAATTAATTTTAATGCATTCACATGGTAAATCCTTCAGCTTTATGGGAAGTTACACCGCCAAGAATTTACAGTCGTCCTTTGCCACTTTGCACTTCGACATTCGCAACTTCACTCTGTCGCAGTTTTTTCAGATACTATACTATATTTATACTGTATATAGATAAAGAATCATACTTTTTGGAAATGCATTTATCGCGGTAGAGTCTGGAACTGATTAGCCGCAATAAACGAGGGCCAACTGTATTCCCAAAGGTTTTAAGGTGTAGTACATATTTAATTTCACCTAGGTACTACTATTAGATACTTTTCTTTTCATAACAGGGCTAACTCAGCAAAGTTATTTGTGTGAGATAATTCTAGAATATGAGGTTCTTATAATATTACAAATAAGCTTAAGTAATGGTTGAATATGAGTCTCTTATATTTTCTTTATCTCTGAATAAATAATACATTCCAAATATTTGTCATGAGCACTATACCTAGTACCTGGTATGTATATTTTCTCTCCCTAGTTTTTGTAGCATTTATATAAGACTTAACATGTTTTCTCCTCCCCTACTCATTTTATAGATGAGGAAAGTTAAGTATAGTTAGACTGGGAAATAACTGGTATATGTGTTCCCAGTTTCTGCCTTCCCATTGGAAGCATGATACAAGAATTGTCCTGCAATTTGAGAGCTAATTGTCTTCCTTGCCCCGGTTAATTGTTTGAGATTTATAACACTTTTAACTTCAAATCCTAGCTTTTTTCCTGTATTTCACAGTGGGCTTGTTAACGCTTGAGTTATCTCAGGTCTTTTTCTATCAGGTAAATGTGTCATTATTCAGAACTATGTAAACATCTCTCCACAAAGAAAAGTACTTTAACAAAACTGTAGATATGTGTTTACTTCATGTAACTTTTAGAACATTTTTTCTGCGGCTCTTTGTTTCTAGGCTCAGAAAATTGCAGAACATCGGAGAAAGTATGAGCGGAAACGGGAAGAGCGAGAGGTCAAAGAAAGAATGGAAAGGGTTAAGAAGGCTCGGGAAGAACATGAGAGAGCACAGAGGGTAAAGTTTCTATAGCTAAACCATTAAAGGGAAATACAGTAGATTAGAACTTTTAGGATATTATTCTAATTCTTGGCTCTTATTTAATACCACTTGTAGTTTTGAAGGATAATGATAACGGCAGTTTTCTTTCCATTTATTATTTAATTTGTGGAGATACTTGTCTTAACATTTTTTTTTTCTTTATTGATTTTAGGGAGAGAGAGAAACATCAGTGAGACAGAACATCAGTTGGCCACTTCCTGCATGCCCCGCACTGAGAATTTGGCTCATAACCTGGGCATGTGCCCTGACCAGTAATCGAACCGGCAACCTCTTGGTGCATGGGTCGATGCTCAACCACTGAGCCACACTGGTCAGGTTCATTTACTTATTTTTAACATTGCTGAATAAAAGGAGATAAAGTTGTATTATAATTATATAACTTTAAGCCTAATTTTTTCGTCATTTAATATTTTTAAGCATAGTGCTTGATTTGGGGGAGTATAGTTTGTAATCTTCAAAAGTTATTTTCACGTTTCTCTATCTCCTGATGACTTTATAACTGGTTATAAGGGAAGTTTATATTTCTTTTTACTTTGTGTTTAAGAAAATATAAATAAATTGGTAAATCTCTAGTTGTATTTATTGTTGAGATACATAGAGTATGGAAAAGATGAATCAAAAGTCATGGCAGTTTTAGTAAACCAACCATGTGAATTTATTTGGAAATTTAAAAATAATAATAATTTAAGTTTCTTTTTGTTGTTTTTTTTTTGTTGTTGAATCCTCACCTGTGATATATTTTTTCCATTGATTTTTTTTTTTTTTTGGAGAGAGAGAAACATATCAATTGGTTACCTCCCACATGCTCCCTGACTGACCAGGGCAAGTATCAAACCTGCAACTACATGCTCTTGACTGAAAATTGAACCCATGACACCCGTTGGTGCACAAGCTTATGTTATACTCAAATCACTGAGCAGAGTTTAGCTTTTATAAGCATGGACAGACATATCAGTATTGTAAATTACTTTCCAGGGTTTTTTTTCTTATTTCTTACCCGAGTAGAAGTAAAACGCTACTTAAAATCATTATCAAAAGTAATGCTCATTTGATAAATCTAATTGGAAATTTTGGGGGTTATGATATGGAGTGTATTCTTTAGTTCATTATTGCCATTTGAAGTTTTTCATTTCTGTAAGTCCTCTGACTACCTTGTTTTACTATTTTTTATATGAGTCTATGTGGATAGGGTAGGGGTGGACAGCAGGACTTTTTCCCTACCTGTTACATAATTTATTTTTTCTGTTAAAGGAAGAAGAAGCCAGACGACAATCAGGAGCTCAGTATGGCTCTTTTCCAGGTATTTTAAAGAAAAATTAAACCTATTAGTATTGTAAATAATTGGAGATTATTCTGATTTGAGGGCTCTGATATATCTACTTAATACTTAGTTCCTGGGACACTAAAGAATCTTTCAAATGTTAGTTTCTAGGAAGATTCAATCTAATAAAAGTTGTATGTTAGTGGGAATACAGTATATTGTTTTCCTCACACTTTGAGCAGTATGCTTTATTTTTTTAATCCTTACCCAAGGATACTTGTCTGTTCATCTTCAGATAGAGAGAGAGAGAGATCGACATGAGAGGGACACATCGACTGGTTGCCTCCCACACGACCCCGACCAGGGCTGGGGATGAACTGCAACCAAGGTACGTGCCCTTGACTGGAATAGAACCCTTGACTCATTGGTCCGTGGGCCGACGCTCTACCTGCTGAACCAAACTGGCCAGGGTGAGCAGTATACTTTTAAAAAAATAGCTGACATTTACTGAAGCCTAAGCATTGTACCTTTATTAAAAGACTATAACAAATGATTGTGATGGATTCAAAGTATTTCTAAATATTTATAATGAAATTTTGTCCATTGATATTTATGAGATAATAGGAAAAATGCTGGAGTTATTAATATTAAACACAAAAAATGTTTTAAGTCCAGTGTAAAAATAATACACACTCTTTCCTTTCTTTTAACTGTCAAGTGATCTGAAATTACTAGCAATGAAAAGCCTTGAATGATACCATAGTTCTACATAATACAGGTAAAAAGAGCTATTAAAGGACACTCAGAAAATAAATGACTACTTCTTGAATGAGGCAGTATGAAATTTAATAAAAACCAGGAAGATGTATTTTTTAAATCATATTTCTAATGGGGAACCAGTTCTTTAATAGTAACCATTTTTTACCCTGGCTGGTTTTGTTCAGCGATTAGAGCGTCAGCCTGCGGTCCTGAGAGACCCGGGTTCGGTTCCCGCTAAGGGCGTGTACCTTAGTTGCAGTTTGTCCCCACCCTGGTTGGTCGTGCAGGTGGCAGCCACTCGATATGTCCCTTTCACGTCAATGTTTCTCTCTGTCTATCTCGTCCTCTCTCTCCCTCCCACTCTATCTGAACAAAAAATGGAAAAATGTCCTCGGGTGAGGATTAAAAAATTAACCATTTTTCTCTTATGGAGAAAGAGAGGCAGCTATACACAAGTTACACTTATATGCCACTGGCTAAAAATGGCAACCTGTGTTCTGAAATGTCATGTGCCAAGCTACTAAAAAAGAACATATATTGAGGATGACTTGTGTTCGGAGAAAAGGCAAGAAAATTTTATGTCAGATACCTTTGTTTTATTAATTTATTTTTTTGTGATACATGCCCCTAGTGGGAACCGAACTCAGGACTCTCTGATCCACAGGTCGACACTCAACCACTGAGCCAAACTGGCCAGGACCAGATAGATACCTTTGTTTTAGAAAATGACCACTAATGTGTACTAGTTCTAGAGATTTTTTTTTTATCCTCACCCGAGAACATTTTTCCATTTTTTGTTCAGATAGAGTGGGAGGGGGAGAGAGGAAGAGAGAGAGAAAACATCAACGTGAAAGGGACACATCGAGTGGCTGCCACCCACACGGCCAACCAGGGCCGGGGACAGACTGCAACCAAGGTATGCGCCCTGAGCGGAAACCGAACCTGGGTCTCTCTGGACCGCAGGCCGACGCTCTAACCGCTTAGCCAAACCAGCCAGGGCTAGCAGGCTAATTTTTAAGTTGATAATTTTACATGTCCCTTAAATTATGTTATAAATATCCAAGTGGCCCTTGGCACAAAAAGGATTCCCAGCCCTGTGTTTAGTGAATCTTTTTTTTTTTTTAATCTTTTTTTTTCTATCCTCACCCAAGGACATTTTTTCATTTTTTGTACAGATGGAGTGGGAGGGAGAGAGAGGAAGAGAGAGAGAGAGAGAGAAACATTGACGTGAAAGGGACACATCGAGTGGTTGCCACCCGCACGACCAACCAGGGCCGGGGACAAACTGCAACCGAGGTACATGCCCTTAACGGGAACCGAACCCGGGTCTCTCTAGACCGCAGGCCGACGCTCTAACCGCTGAGCCAAACCGGCCAGGGCTAATCTTTTTTTTAATCTTCATCTAAGGACATGTTCATTGATTTTTAGAGATGGGGGAAGGGAGAGAGAGAAACATCAGTGTGAGAGAAACATTGAAACATGTGCCCCAACCAGGACAGAGGATGGAACCTGCAAACTAGGGTATGAGCCCTGGCTGGGAATTGAACCCAAGACCTTTTGGGTTAGCTGGTATTGATTTTGAGGAACTTATATGGCCCATGGGCCAGACGTTTCCCATCCCTCCTCTATAGGATTGGACATTTACGTTGACATTACTGATTAAAATAACACACGTGTACATGCACTGGCCAGGTCCAAACCTGTAGAGAATTTTTAATAAGAGTTTATTTGAGCCCTGGCCGGTTTGGCTCAGCGGTTAGAGCGTCGGCCTGCGGTCCCGAGAGACCCGGGTTTGGTTCCCGCTAAGGGCACGTACCTCGGTTGCAGTTTGTCCCCGGCCCTGGTTGGTCGTGTGGGTGGCAGCCACTCGATGTGTCCCTTTGACATCGATGTTTCCCTCTCTCTCTCTCTCTTCCTCTCCCTCTGTCTGTACAAAAAATGGAAAAATGTCCTCGGATGAGGATAAAAAAAAAAAAGAGTTTATTTGAGCCAAAACTGATGACAGTTGCTGGAAAGCATTATCTCAAATGCTTTGGAGAATGACTCTTTTGCAGTTTCTTTTATGCATTTGAAATTAAGGAGGGAATATTACATGAAGCTGGAGAAAAGCAAGATGGGTTTTGGATTATAAGAGAGTTAACAAGATTATGTGCTTTCTTGTGGGTGGTTGCTACTTATTTCAAAGGTGTGTTAACCTAGATGCACAAAAACTGTGGACAGGGCTGGTTTAAGGCAGAGATAAACCTTTTGCTAAAGAAGTATATGCCTCAGCCTATTCACTCACCATGGCCTGCCCCATTAGGAATTTATAATCCAATCACCCTGTGAAGTTAACTTTCTATAAATCCCTTTTTCATCCATAGTAGAAAATAGTATACTATTAGATTACTTGGGAATTTGGTTGGTGTCTATACAGTTTTTTCATTTATTTTTGTAGGTGGCTTTCCTGGGGGAATGCCTGGAATGGGAGGAGGCATGCCTGGAATGGCAGGAATGCCTGGACTCAATGAAATTCTTAGTGATCCAGAGGTTCTTGCAGCCATGCAGGTAAGACTTAGTAAAACAGAGTGGAACTTTATATGTGTCACTAAGGCATTTCTTTCATAATTCTGTTTGGGGACAAAGGTTACTTTGTTAGCCAAGTTTTATTGATCTGAATTACCAGATAGCTAACTATGCACTGGTGATACTGATTTTCTTTCAGAATGAGTAGCTTAAATTTTTGTTTTTTAAAGATTTTTTTAAAGAGAGGAAGGGGGAGAGAGAGAGAGAAACATTGACATAAGAGTGACAGATTGCTTAGCTGCCTCCTGTATGCCCTTTACTGGGGATCAAACCCAAAACTTGGGCATGTGCCCTGACTGGGAATTGAACCAGCAACCCTTTGGTGCACTGGATGACACCCAACCAACTGAGCCACACCAGCCAGGTTGCTTAAATTTTTAAAAATTGGTTTATAGGAAATACTTTGTAATGGTTGATAATTATATCTAATTGTCCTTTTCTTTGTATCAAGAGTGTATATGATTTTTTATTAAAGTGACATAATTGGCCCTGGCCAGTTTGGCTTAGCGGTTAGAGCGTCGGCCTGCGGTCCAGAGAGACCCGGGTTCGGTTCCCGCTAAGGGCACGTACTTCGGTTGTAGTTTGTCCCCGGCCCTGGTTGGTCATGCGGGTGGCAGCCACTCGATGTGTCCCTTCACGTCGATGTTTCTCTCTCTCTCTCTCTCCCTTCCTCTCTCTCCCTCCCACTCTATCTGTACAAAAAATGGAAAAGTATCCTCGGGTGAGGATAAAAAAAACAAACAAAAACAAATAAAGTGACATAATTGAGTTTGACTTTGAAGTGCATGTTAATAATATTTATATTTCAGGGATTTGTCCAGATCCCAAGTAACTCAGCCATGACAAAATTATAGGTCTAAATACATAGATAGGATTTAAGGTAATACATTTGTTGACTCATACAATTTTTGTTGTTGTTAATCCTCACCTGAGGATCTTTTCCCATTGATTTTTAGAGAGGGGGGGAAGGGGGGAGAAACGCAATGTGAGAGGGACACGTTGACTAATTGCCTCTCACATGACCCCAACCAGGGCCAGGGATTGATCCCGCAATCCAGGTATGTGCCCTTGACTGGGAATCGAACCTGTGACCCTTTGGTCCTCAGGCCAACACACAAACCACTGAGCCAAGCTGGCCAGGGTGACTCAGAGAATGTTTAAATACTTAAAAAAAAACCTTACTTTGCAGGATCCAGAAGTTATGGTGGCCTTCCAGGATGTGGCTCAGAACCCAGCAAATATGTCTAAATATCAGAGCAACCCAAAGGTTATGAATCTCATCAGTAAATTGTCAGCCAAATTTGGAGGTCAAGCATAATGCCCCTCTAACAGATAAAGCCCTTGCTGAGGAAAAGCAACTTGGATCACCCAATGGATGTCGCAATAATACAAACCAGTGTACCTCTGACCTTCTCATGAAGAAAGCTGGGGTGCTTTGAAGAGAATCCCTACCCCTCTGACCCAAATGCAGCTGTAACATTTTACAGTGGTTTACCATTACGGTATTTGTTCAGATAATGTTTTCCTACTAGGAATTACAAAGTTTAAACACTTTTAAACCTTAAAAATATTTAAAAAAAAACAAAAGGGTATGTTAAACCCTACATTTTTCTTTACTAATCATTTTGGTGTTTTCTTTTGAATTAATTGGGCAAAAGATACTTCAGTATGGAAGATTTATTGCTCAATTTGAGCAAAATGAAAGTTTATTAGTGGGAAGCAAATATAACATTTAACTAGATAAAGTTTGAGTTGGATATATGGTTACCTCAGTACCTCAGTAACCATATATTGTAACCATTTTGATTTCTCTCTTTAGATGCTTTATTTTTTAAGAAATGATTTATTTCAATAAAACTACTGGGACTACCAGTAGAGCAGCAGGACCTGGGTAGGGACTGGAAGTACTAGGCAGGGCAGCAGCAATCTTACTACATTTTTATAGAACACGTACGCTTATGCAGATGCATTTAAATCTTACACTGTGGTGAAGGGATAATTTGTATAATGCTGTGGTGGAGTTGGATTACTTAGCTCTGTTCTTGTCTGATATAAAATATAAATGTTTCATATTTCCACATAGGGGAAATAAGGGAATACTTTTCTTTTTATATTTCTATGTTTAAAATTACCATTTCTGGTCAAAAAATGCCTCTTTGAGCTTTCTACTTGTTTTTACATTTTTCTTCCCCTTATCCTTGGACTAGAGAGTCCTTTTTCACTAGCATCATCACTGCTATCATTCACAGCATAATCGTGAGAGCCTATTTAATGCTGGGTTTAATTTAATATGTAATACATGTAGTGACTGTGTGGGGTAATACCTGTAACAGCTGTAGCTTCCTACTTGGCCAAGAGATTTCATATTTAAGTGTTAGATTTCTACTTCAGTGAAATCCTATTGAAAGATGGTGGAAGGAAGGATTCCCTTTGGTGTTTGTTTTTCTGCTTAGGAAATACTAATTGGCTTTATCTTTGTATTTTGGAGAGAGTATGAGGTTGAAATAATTGAGATACATAGAAGGGAACCTAAGTTTTTGATCCAGCATGAATGATAAAAATGATATCCATGGTTTTTTACTGTAGATTGTCGGTATTGTAAAAGATTCATTGTTCTCCTGTGCAACTCTTAAATACTGCAACCCTATTGCCACCTCTTTCCCTCTCCAAGAATAAAGAAAAGGATAAATTTTCTGTTGTACATTCAATTCCTATATTAAATAAGACTAAGTCCAGACACTGTACCAGGAATTTCTAGGTTTTTACCTAGAAATTAAAATTCTGTTTAAAAGCAGTTTCAAGGGATGAGGCCTTATGTACTTTCCTTATTTGAAGAATCAGTGGTGAGAACAGTAAATAAATTCAATGGAATATATTTTTGAAATGGCACGTATCTGAAATCATAAGTCAGTTCAGGTTCTAATCCTTTGCTGTACACAAGCAGATAAAAATTCATCTGTTAAAATAAATGAAAAAAGGCTGTATGCTAATTGAGCATGCTTTTTAAACCCTTTAAAAATACTCAGCATATAAACTAGCGTTTGAATTTGCCCGTGTTCTTTTTGTTAATGTGTGTTCTTTTTCTCAAAATTTCCAGTGGATGCTGTGAATAAATCCAGAAGACCAGTTGCTTTTGAATTCCTTATTTGGTTTGATTTACTTAACTATACATTACCTAAGTACATTCTAATATTGCAAATATTAACCATAAATCGATAAAAGTATAATTGGTCTTATGTATTCTGTGCTTTTAGACTTTTAAGTTCCACAAATAAAAACTACTTTCATTTTCATAGAAACTCAATATCATTTATAAACAGAAGTGTTCTTTCTTGTGTTAATAATGCTGTAAGAAGGAAAAGTAGTTTTTTTCATGTTTAAAAAAATATAGTTATTGGATGTTTCTAGGTACATTCAAAATAAAGTATGGCTTCAAACTGGATATTGACTCCCCCACCCCCCACTTGTCCCCCAGCACATGTTCCATTTCTTTTGTCTCTAGCACTCATCTTGTTATTTACTGGGCATAGTAGACTTCAGATTATAAAGTACTGTTAACAAGGATCCACAAAAATACATTAGCCTATGTCAGTAATTTCCAACCTTTTCATCTCATGGCACACACAAAATACTAAAATTCTGCACACCAAAATATTCTTTGCCTATCTGACAAAAAAGTAGGTATAATTTTTATTGATTTACAAAAAGGAAAATAATAGTAATTACCTACCCTTTTTGCTCCAAAGTGACTTTTGAAAATCAGGTACCTATACTTGTATATAAGGATGCCTTGCCCTGGCCGGTTTGGCTCAGCGGTTAAGAGTGTCGGCCTGCGGTCCGGAGAGACCCGGGTTCGGTTCCCGCTAAGGGCACGTACCTCGGTTGCAGTTTGTCCCCGGCCCTGGTTGGTCGTGCGGGTGGCAGCCACTCAATGTGTCCCTTCACATCGATGTTTCTCTCTCTCTCTCCCTTCCTCTCTCCCTCCCACTCTATCTGTACAAAAAATGGAAAAATATCCTCGGGTGAGGATAAAAAAAAAAAAGGATGCCTTGTTCCAAGAGTTAATCAATCAGATGCAACCTTATTATGCAGTGTGACCAATAAAATGCAACTCTGTTATATGACCTATATATTTATGGTTCAATGCAGGGCATTCACACCATTGTTGTGTTCGCTGTTGTCATTTTCAGATTTGACCATCTAAGGCAGTGGTTCTCAACCTTCCTAATGCTGTACCCTTTAATACAGTTCCTCATGTTATATGTGGACAGACCCGCCTGGAGATGGATAGAGGAGCGGTGTCTTGGTTCCTAATACCATCGGAAATATGTTTTCCAATGGTCTTAGGCGACCCCTGTGAAAGGGTAGTTTGACCCCCAAGGGGTCGTGACTCACAGATTGAGAACCATTGCTAAGGGAAAAGAGGTCAATGCCCCTGACTAAATAGTCAGGTATTGCATGTTTTAAAAATTCATGGTGGCACACTGGTTGAAAATTGCTGGCCCAGTAAAACAGCTTTAATTTTCTTTCAGGTAGCTGTCTAGAGGTAAACAGTTCTATGATACTCAGGTGGTTTCCATTTCTGGGTCCAAAGGTGCTTGCTCTGGTGCACGTATTCTCTCCTGGGGAAACAGGAGAGGATTCCAGGGAAGCATATACTGAAATTCAGAGACTAATACATGGAATTAGCATTGTATTCTTACATCCTGTTGATTAGCTTTTTCTTTCTGTTGAGGCCTAAGTTTTTTAGCTGTAAGATAAGCTAGAAAATAATAGTCCATAGCTGTGTGGTCACATGCCCAACAAAAGAATTATTTAAAAAGTTATTTTATTTTTTTGTTAATCCTCATCTGAGGATAATTTTCCATAGATTTTTGGAGAGAGTGGAAGAGAGGGAAGGTGGGAGAGCGAGAGAGAACATCGATGTGAGAGACACATCGATTGGTTGCCTCCTGCATGATCCCAACCAGGGCTGGGGATTGAACCTGCAACCCAGGTATGTGCCCTTGACCAACAATCGAACCCGAGACCCTCTGGTCCATAGGCCAACACTCTAATCGCTGAGTTAAACCAGCCAGGGCAAGGTAAGTACTCTTAACTCCATTTTATACAGATGAAGAAACAAGCACTTAGTAAATTGCCTAGGATAACACCCCTGATTATTTGTGGAGCTGGGCTTTTCACCAAGCTTGCGGTTTCAAAGGTCTTCCTCTTAAATTCTAGGCTCTGCTGCTCCTTTCTGTATGAGGTTGCATCTTGAAAAATTATTCATTACTTTAAGACATTCAAAACAACTAAAGTGTACACTTGAAAAGGAGTATCACACATTGAGGTGTGCTGATGTGCACGTCCAGCAGAGGTTTCTCCTAATAAGGATGTAATAATTGAAGTGCTTGGTCCACTTGTGACAGACCCAATAATAGTGACAGAAAAAAATAGTTTTACAAATTACAGTGCAGTGATTAATTTTGAAGTTCAATTTGTACCTATATTAACTAGTATAGCACACTTAATAGAGTTTGGGGAAGAAAATCCCTAAAGTGCCCTGGCCGGTTTGGCTCAGCAGTTAGAGCATCGGCCTGCGGTCCAGAGAGACCCGGGTTCGGTTCCCGCTAAGGGCACGTACCTCGGTTGCAGTTTGTCCCCGACCCTGGTTGGATCTTGTGGGAGGCAGCCACTCAATGTGTCCCTTTCACAACAATGTTTCTCTCTCCCCTTCTCCCCCCTCCCTCCCACTCTATCTGAACAAAAAAATGGAAAAATGTCCTTGGGAAAGGATTAAAAAAACAAATGTCCTATTAAAAAAAAAAGAAAATCCTTAAAGTAAATAGGCAACAGCTCCCTGGTTGAGCATCAACCCATACACCAAGAGGTTGCCAGTTCTTTTCCTGGTCAGGGCAGAGCCTAGGTTGTGGGCCCAATTCTCAGTAGGGGCCATGCAGGAGGTGGCCAATCAATGTTCTCTGTCGATGTTTCTATCTCCTTTTCTATTTCAAATCAATGAAAAATATTTTTTAAAAAGACAAATTTGAAGGAAGATGGCGCCGGGCAGGACCAGAGGGAGGGTGAATGTGTGAGAGAGTGAGCTACTATGTGAGAGAGTGTGAGTGGGCGTGAAGGTGGACGACCAAACTTGTGAAGTGCAGAGACACGGAGCAGAAGGTTCCTGTGCTGTGGACTGGAGCAGCCGGCTACCGCAGTAAGTGGCCCTTCAGGGCCCTTCTCCCTGCGCCGTGGGAAGGTCCCACCATTTTGGAAGATCCCTGGTCTTCCTTGGAAGGAGGCAGTGGGAGCTGCTAGGGCCGAGCAACCTGAGCCCACCAGCACACCCGGCACCATCAGACCAGTGGACACACTGTGTCAACATAGACTAGTGCACAGTAGTGGAGCTCCCAAGGTGCAGGTTGTGGAAGCCGCGGACAGCCAGGAGCCCAGCACCATCCCCCATAGCAGCCCTATCAGAGTCCAGATATACCCCCAGCAACAGAGGCTGGGGAGCAGACATCCATCCCCAGGCTATAGAAGCACAAACCAGCAGCTGAGACCCATCCCCAAAAACTAAAGCAAAAGCTGAGCAGGAGTTGAATCCCATGGGGCAGCAGCACTCCCCAACTGTCAGCGGCGGGACCTAGGGCTCCACAGAGGCCTGTGCGGTCCAGCAGCTCACAAGAGCAGTGGGAAGCCAGAGCCCAAGAGTGACTGGTGCAATCCAGCTGCCCGCCCACAGGA